ATATAGCAATGTTTGATGTGTAGCACGCATTTCTTTTGATCTTTACCCACTCCCGATGGCTAGCACAATTTGTTCTATATGTAGGAGGATCTGCTACATATAAAAGTGTCATATAGCACTTTTGAAAAGTAACTTTTTCTACTTCTAGCTAATGTTATATAACATTGTTAGATCTTACACAAATCTGCTATAAAGCAGGTTTTGCTTCATAGTGAAGACCAGGCTTTATAATCAGCAATCTGACGCATGCACTTTCTCCCATAACTTGTCAACAACCCTTATAATATATGTTATGGGGAAAATCACAAAAGTTATAATAAAAAGTTAAAGTAATAAGGTCAAATAAAAATACCCCCGCCGCAGCAAACCTACAGACTAAGCGAATTTCCATTTTACTGATTGGATTTACACTGAAATGTCTACTTAAAAATATAACATTTATTCTTGACTAGTGTCCCTGTTGCTCGAATTCGAGCAATTCGTTATTTTAAAACGAATTTCAACCAAGTCAGCAAATATCTTTAGCAAACTTGTTAAATTAGCCAACTTATTGACTGTTTACAATTAACATATGCTCTTCTTCTCACTTTTGATTTCTGACAACAGCTGAAGTTTCATAACAATTTTTGTTTCCAATGTTAATCTTATGGAGAAATACAAAACTTTAAAGGGCTCCAGGGCCTCACTCTCTCATTATTTCCCTAAAAAGAAAGTTTCCTGCACAACTTCACGTTACGCTCTTTCCTATGACACCAAAAACATGACAATTGGTTCAGTAGTTTCGGAAGAGTAGTTGTCACAAAAAATCTGCTTGCGTATTAAATAAGTACGAGAGCACGCCCCGTGGTCGAAAAATCGACCAAAAGTATGTACCGGTATTGTACAAATTTCTCTATTTTCATCCCACACTGTAAATAAAACATGTGATTGGAATGTCTTCCATTTGTTTTGATTTTCTGTTTATATTGTGTTGTTATTTTGTCATCACCATAGCAACCCATAAGACCCATGTTAATTTTTTAAAATTTCAAATTCATTTTTTGTGCTTATTTTTGAGCCTATTTTAATTTATAAAGGGATTCTGCACACCTACAGGAAAATAGCTTTCTGACGGTATGCGTAGATTTTCCCTACGATACACACGAGCTGAGAAAAAAGGTTTTAAAGAAACATGCTTGCCTATTAATATATAGATAGATAGATAGATAGGTTTAAATAGAATTAGTTTAACAAGTACTTAGGTTTGCTGCATCAGGGAGGGTAAAACTGTTTTTTTTTTGTAAAATGTGAATAGTTAGTAAGAAATAAAAACATTTTCCAAATTTGATCAAAATATGTTCACAAACAAGCAAACTACAACAGTTTACTTATTCTCCATAAGAATAACATGGGAATTTTAAATTTACAATTTTTTGGAATTTTCTCCGTAACCATTAGGCGCATAATAACGCTTCAATATACTAAATTATTTGTTTTTTTAAGCTCTACAAAATGGTTTGGAAAGAAATTGCTAAATTTTATGTTTTTTGGGTCAAAAATGGGAAAAACCTATTTTTACCCCATAAAACCCCCCGTAAACCCCCGTTCCCATGGTCCGATCATGCTGGATCGCGAACTCGTTCGAATAAACGTACGTTTACACGTTTGTACCAAATTTCATCAAAATCGGATCATTTTTGCTCGAGTTATCGTGCTGACGGACATATATATATATATATAAATATATATATATATATATGAATTTGAACGGATGGTGTTTTTGGCCTCTAGGGACCTCAAAACGAAAAAAAAAAATCGGTCCCGCGTCCAGGTCTTACCATGAGTACTACGGTAATAGCTTATTCCCTATATGGGAAATTCGCTAAAAACTGTAAAAACCACATAAAAAATGCTTTTCAAACTGATTTCTTTATTTTTCAAACAATTCTAAATTTAGAACTATTGGCTTTCAAAACTATTATTAATGCCTGCCAAGATAATGGTAAATAAATATTGTTCTTGCAACTAGGCACACAAATAATTTATGGGAAACTATCAATTACAAATTCGGTTGAACACACCAGTTTAATTTTTTTGTGTCTCTATAATAACACTATTTTAATTTGCTGGTGATTTAGTCTTACCGTAAATTGATTTAAGGGAACTAAATTTAGTGTGATATAAAATGTTACCTGATGCAAATGAAGCCTTGTTCTATACAAAAACAATTTCTATTTGATGTGTCTCTCACATTTCCATAACGTAAACTGTAAAATAGACACACTTCAGTAATCTTATTTATTTGTTTTTAGTAATAAATTAGATAAATTACAAAACATGATTCAATAGTCATTGCTTACGATATGGGATACATATAATGAGGTCAAACTTTAATCCGATTGTCTTTATGATAATATTTGAAACAGAAAATTTCCAATGGAAGATTTTGTTGCCTAAGAAAAACATCTGCTTATATCTTTCAAGCGTTATGTTTTTGTTTATCCAAAAGTTATGACATGAGTCTTGTCTATTGTCTAGACAAATGTGATATATAAGGTAAAAATGTTTTAAAAAAAGAATGTTTATTTCAAATGATGTTCAATTACATGCAAGGTATTTACATCCAGCCGTTTCTAAAATATTTTGCCTGCCGATTCTTTTTTATTTTCTCCCCTTATAATACATATCGAGAAAGTATTGTTTTCGTTTGAATTTTCAAGATTGAGTTTTGGGTGGAAATATACGCTTTGGGTCCCCCTTAAGCCAACAAAGTGGTTTTTGAAGGGGTTTAATGTCTTTTTAGGGATTTTCCCAGTAAATACAAAATTCATATTTTCATACAAATTGCTTGAACAATTTAGATTATAATGAAATTATGTAACGATCCTTTTGACTCTAAGTGTAACTCTATTAATGTTTAACGTACAATGATTTAACAAAGCTACTTACTTACTTGATACTTGATGATGTCCCACTAGCATCGCTCCTGCGACGTGGTCGTCAAATGGGTAGAAAAACAATAATAGGCCTAATTGAACAGATCTTCTACTTTAAAATAGGCCGCTTCACATAAATATTCCTTTAACATCTTCTTAAATTTATTGAAATTTTGCTCTTGGATAATGTTCCTTGGTAGTGAGTTGTAGATCTTGACACTACTAAAATATGGGCTCTTGCTGGCCAAAGTTGAGTTAACTTGGGGTACATGTACTTGATTAGCTCTTCTCGTGTTGTACTGATGGACCAGATTGTTTGTGAAAAAGATGTCCGGATTATTTCTCACCAAGATGGCAGATTCTAAAATAAATAGTGATGGGAGGGTTAAAATTCCAAGGTCCTTGAACAGGGGCCTACTGTGAGCAAGACGTTGAGCACCACACATTCTCCTAATAATTCGTTTCTGGAGGAGAAAGATCCTATTGGCCATGGTACTACCTCCCCAGAATACTATTCCATAAGATATTATACTGTGAAAACATCCATATAATAAACTTTTAACAAAATGTCAGTCTGGACCAATTTCTGGAGCCTAGTAATTAAATTGATTACAGATCTTAATCTTGAAGCTATTGAATTAATATGTACATCCCACTTTAGATTTTCAGTTATGTGCAGGCCAAGATATTTTACTTTTTCACGGGATTACAAGCTAATTACAACTGTTGTGATTTTCCCTATAATATCTTATTTACTCCCACCACTTACAACCATGATATGTGTTGTTGATAAGCTATGGAAGAAAGTATGTGTCAGATTGCTGATGGTGATTTGTCTAGAGGAAATAACCTACCACAGGGAAGGTATTGCAATGGCTAAATTTCCACGGATGAAATTTTTTTATTAATAAAATACAAGTATAATTGTTCTTATTTAGTGTAACGTTACTAAGTTTGTTTCATTGGCCATCTCTTCTTTTTTTCATAGCACACTTTTGCTAGAGAATTTCTTCTCTTTGTTTTATTTAACATAACACATATTGAATACTAGCAGAGTACCCGTCCTTCGTACGGGGTTGGCGTATAAGTATAAAATGCTTATTGCAGTTATACTTAACTTTACGTTTGCAATGGGAGAGTGGACACTGTCAAGAAAATTTGGTTCTTTTAATTGATGATTTGCTATAGTATAGCACATCTTTGTTGCTAGTTGGTTAAAATTAGCTGTTGTCATAAATGCAAAAAAATTTATAGTGCCGCAACCTGTTGGTAAACTTGATAACTTTTTAATGATATTTAATATCATAGAACCTACTTGTGTAGTTTAAACAGCATGACAAAATTCTTGAATTCCTTTTAAATATGAACACTCATAAGGTTAACATGGAAAACTCCAGAGCCACTGGGGTGGAGCCCGAAAGGATTTTTGAGATAAGAATATGTCTATATGTTAATCGGGAATGTGAACTATCACCATACAAAATTTCAGCCCAATCCAACCAGTAATAAATGCGTGATTGAACTTCAAACAAACTTTCACATTTATAATATTAGTATGATCATCATCATCTATGGTGAGTGCATGCACCTCCTACAACTGTTAACTAAAAGAATGGCTCATTTTATTTTTGATATATGATATATTTTTGATCTGTGTAATACATTACAGGTAGTTTATAATAAAGCACATAATTATAAAAGTGATAAATAATATGTAATTTATTACAAAATATTATCGTCTCCAGATTCTTCCTTTTAGCAATGTTCGCTAGTAAAACTACTGTAAGCTTATTTGTACTCTTAAGCAGTAAAATTTTGTTTAGAGATTGGCGGCCTCTTTTAACTTTGCATTTGCCTGTCCACATAGACCACATATCTGCGAGTGCCGAGTGGAACGTATCCAGCAAAGCAAGGGGTGAGCCAAACCAGTGCAAAGGTGAACTGTACTGATAAAATGTTTGCGGCAGTGCGGAGGATCTGAACCCACAAATGACATAGTCTGTGACGCTACCAACTGAGCCACCGACTCACCAGATCGCTCATAAAAGTGACTATCAGATTACAAAAAATCTAGCTCAATTTATTTTTACACTAACCTTGATCCATAATATCAGTAAAAACACCAATTATTTTATTTTTGCTTATGAGAGAACCATTACAAAAAGAACTAGTTGGTTGATTACCTATCCTATTGAATAACAATCACATGATACCGTAGCTTAATTCGGCTGGTTTTTGGAGGAAATATAAATTGGCTTAGGAATACATTATATGGTAGAAGGAATGGATACACAGCTAACTTATCGAAAATAAAGAGTTCCTGGCGGTTGAAATAACACAACAAGTTCACAACATAGTGAACTTGATATTTTGTCCCTACTAGAAGGATTCTTCAAGGTTGACTGATTCTTCAACAGCCGGGATCTCTTTTCTGGGATATGTTAGTTGTGTATTCATTCCTTCTTCTTAATGTATTTTCATTTGGAAATCCTTTGATCTTTACTTTAAGTCAGGGCAGGCTTCGGCTTCATCATCATTCATCTTCAGGATTTGATCAACATCTATATCGGCTGAGTCATGAAAGTCGTCGATGATGCGAGTGTCGACATCAAGCTTGTCTTGATCTAAAGAATCCTCTACGAGATTCCAAGCATGTCTTTGCATTTCCATTGAAGGAGTTTTGTCTGAAATGTGGATAATATTCTTTAATAAAGTATATCATTAAAATTCATTGTTGAGCCCCTGAGCTGGAGATAATTAAAGACATATTACTTACGTCTGTCAGCTCAAAATTGTGGATGGTGAATTTCAGTACATGTGTGTTAAATTTAAAATTGTGTGTTGAAATGTCATAGGGAATTTGTCTGTCAACATTGAAAGAGTTTTTCAACAGACTAATTTTTTATATTCTAACTAATTAGATTACCTTTATTAAAAGCATGCAGTGTTAGGGAATTTCAATCTTTGAGAACCATGCAATTTACAAGGATAAAAACTTAAGTACAAATTTGTTACTAACCTTTGAAGTTTCCTATGTAAGCAATCTCGACAGCATTTTTCTTAATCAATTTGGGATATTTTTCATTCTTATCTGGCCTAGCAGTCCAGCCTCTACCTTCATAAACGTTGAAATCACTTCCTGCTAGAAAACTAAATAGTTGTGAAAGTATTCATGTTTCTGGCCTCTGAAATATTTTATTAAGACAAACGTTTTTACATACGGGTCAAAAAGTCCAATGATTAAAATTGCTCAGTAGCTTACTTGTTTCATTGAGAAGACAATGTTCTCAAAGCTTGCAACTCGTCAAGAAGACAAAGAACACAACTCGCTTCGCATATGTTTTCCTTGTGTTCTTGACAAGTCGCAAGCTGTTAATTGTCTTTGCAAGAAAACATATGTAAGCTACTGAGCAATTTCATTTTTGGACCGTTTTATGGAGGTATGTGAAAACCTATTATTTTCTACATTTAAGTGCACTGATGTTGGGTAAATATTTTCCTCTTAGATAGGGGTATTTTTTACAGTGTGTACGCAGTTTGGTTGTAATACCAGAAAAAAAATCGTTAGTGATCATATTGCTTGGTCAGAATAGTTTAAAAGCTATAGTGATTCAAGAAATTAACATTTAACATTCAAACAAACTATTGACAGAACCATTTAAAAGTCGTTGGTAATTTAAGGTCTACATAGATCTTCACTCATAGCCAAGCAAAACCTGGTTCAAATCTGAGATCAATGTCAAGTTCCCAGATTCTGTTACTGCCATTCCCACCCTTATTACCCTGGATTATCCTCACCATGGCATCTTTGTGAGAGAAAATTGACACTCCCACCATAAGTAAAAATTGTGTTATGTTTTTAGATTTGTTATATGGTCGATCACTATTGAAATCTATTGCCAATATTGACGGGCTTGAATGGACAAATGGAGTAATGTGGTTGGATGTAGACAATGTCTGCAAGTCGAGGAGGGAATCTATAGGTGGGCTTAAAAATGTGTAGTGTTTTTATGGTGTAGGTTGACTACTCCTGTTCATCAGTCTAATTTGAAGCAGAGTGATAAACTTTGAGGAATTTGGCATGCGGAGGTCCAAACAAGAGGGTTTATCAAACTAATAAGGGACGTCTCTATAAGACCATTTAGACATACGGTTAGCCCTGGAGGTCTGGAACACACCAATCAGCAAGCAGTTTCCTCAAATTCAATCACTGTCTCAAATTAATCTCCTTAACCGGCCTCATTATACAAATTTGTATGGGCTTCAACCAAGGCCCCACGGTCCTCAGACGCTGTGGAGAGAGAATCGAAGCCAAGTTTTCATGAAGTCAAAAAACCTTGATCAAACTTCACATGCAGCTTGAAGGAACTTCACATGCAGCAGTCTACTGTTTTACACAAGCGTTTGAGACAAAACTTGTAAAAACTGCAGTTATTACAAGCGTTGAAGCTTAATGACAAGCCAGAACACACACATTTTTGCCACATGATAGCTTCGATTCTTGTTGATATTCTTAAATTCTGTTGTCAGGCTTCATGGCACCAACTCAACTAAAAGAAAGCATAACCTTGTCTAAACAAACTATAAACACACCCTTTCCATTAGTGTGACAATCAGCTATTTGAAATCACGGAAACAGATGTACCAACTGTTTAATTTTGAACCATTCTTTTTAATAACCCTACACTTTGACGAGATGAATTGGCCCATAAGATTCGAGCTGTCTAGAATGGTGGTGGATGAAATAAGGATAGATAAAGTTGGTTTCAGATTTTAACTGTCTCCCTTAGCTGACCTTAAAATTAAAACACTCTGCCAATAAAAAGAATTACATGAAGTCACCCTCACCCAAGTGACTACTTTGTCCACATAAGCAATTTAATACAAAGTCCCCACCGTATAAATGTGCTTTATTTACTAAGTGCTCACAAAAAAGGAAAAATTTCATGTTCGGATAGTTTTTAAATTTACTATCCTATATGTAATCTAACGATAAAAATCAATCCTGTAGTACAGTTAGGATTATTCAAGAGTTGAATGCTACAATTATCATGTCTTTTTAAACGCTTGTAACCAAATTGTGACTGGAGAATTTACTTATGATTTAAGACCTACGGTGTGTTGCCAAATGGGACAAAAATACTAATTTGCAGAAGTGAAGAGAATTGCACAGCTCCATTCCACACTTTTTTGCACATATTTGCATACAGGGAAATATAGATTTAAATTGTGCTTGGGTGCTTGTTCACATTTTAGAACACCTGAATTGTTGATAGAATGGGTTATGTTTTTTAGAGGTCACAGCAGGTGGCAGCTGTTGAATTGTACTCATTCACAAAATTTAGTCGGTTTGAAGGGATTCCCTCTTCAGCTCACTATAAATTTGAAACAATAGCACAGCTGACATATAAATTAAGCTAAAATAGTGTTGGGGAACCCAGGAAACCTGCCCCCCTAATTCGCTAAAACGTTGTGAACAAACAATATATTATTACTATATACTCTGTTCGGTGAGTGTTTGGAGTGAAGCGCCGCCCGCTGGGGGAGTGACGTTTGAGTCAGGCCTGTTCACAGTAAACCCCCCTGTGCAGCTTGCTATTGGCATCAACCTCAAGTCCATTCAAACACTTTTGTTACTAATTTGACCGGTGGAATGTTTGTAAAAAAGCTCATGCACCTTTCGTCTAAAGGCACATTTAGTAAAGTTGTCAATTCTTTCAAAAGTACTGAGTCTGTTTAGCGAATTTCCCATATAGGGAATAAGCTATTACCGTAGTACTCATGGCAAGACCTGGACCAAGACATTTTTTTGGACACCCCTACCAAGTTTCTATGCCCAGTCGTTCTCTTAAATTAGTGGAGACAAAGTTTCCAAATAAATATTAAGATTCCCCATGTTAATCTTATAGGAGAAAACCCAACTTTGATAGAAGATCCAGCCCGAACTAAATATTTCAAAAAAATAAAAAACACTTTGCAAAACTACAGATCAGGGCCATTCTTTTGACACTTTAACCATCAAAATCGGTCCAAAAATGAGGGAAGAGTTCTGTTTACAAAAATCGGTTTAGCGTATTATATATATAGATGTGCTTATTTTTAGAATGTTAAATCAACAAATGAACAAAAATAAACAAATAAATGTTAAAATGTTGAATTAGGTACTTTAAAGGACAGTTTTTAGTTGATATTACAGGGTGGCTGAAAAGTAACTTGCACCCCCACTTAACTTTTCAACCATTTGAGATATTTGAAATCGGTTTGCGGCAACCTTCTAAGATATGAGGGGCTACAATAATTATGGTCAATTTTGAAAATTTTGCCCTTAGGGGTAGCGGGGGTAGGGGGTAGCTCAAAATTTTCAAATGACAAGTACTGTATAGTCGAGTTTGGTATCATTTTACAGGTCTTGACGAAACATGAACATTGACATAAAGAAAGCCAAAATCGGCTCACTACAGTAGAACCCCTCATAACCGGCCACCACGGGACCAAGCCCCTGACCGGATAACGATTTGGCCGGATAAACCAACCTACTATGAAAATGATAATTCATACCTAATAATAATAGGTAATCAATATATGCAATCAAAAGTATAATTTAATTCTGTTCTGGGATCATTTTTAGAAAAATTAACATGTTTGTAAAAAGGAAATAGTTATTTGTGCAACTAGTGAGAAAAGTGAGCAATTGACTCACTCGAGAGAAATCCTTACTCACGAGCCGTAGGCGAGTGAGGAATGGTTTCTCGAGTGAGGCAATTGTACTTTGAACTCCAGTTGCACATTATACTTTTCCTACAGTTACCATAAAACAAATAAATTGGTGAAGAAGAAACATAACCTATTTTTACACAGAAGTGAACTTTTAATATAACATTTAATGTGAAGTGACAAATACAACAGTACAACAGCTGACCAGCTGATTTACAGCCAGTGCTGCCAACGTATTTCGCGCGCATACGGCGTTGCCTGCATGTTACGCGCTCACTATTTTGTGCCTTCACGTTGAAAATCTGGAGTGAGACAAAGTAGTTAGAGTGAGACAATGTTAACATTGTCTCACTTGATGAGCGAATTGGCCACTTTGCTTTCTCAAATCAGTGAGAGAACATGTACTTTGTTAGGTAACTGTAGGAAAAAATATTTGTAGGTTAAAGTCATTAAGTAACGAATGTACAAATATTATGATACAAACAAAACCTAAATGGAGGTAAAAATGACAATAAATTGTACTTAAAGATCATTAGGACTTAAATGGTACATGCATTTCTACTCAACATTCTTAACCATTTTGTGAAATACATTATTAATGTACTCTTACTGTACTGTACTAACCCCACTTTGGAAATAATCAACCAACTGATCAGAAGTTAGGCCTACTAGCTCAACTGAGTATAGTAACTCAGCAAATCTATACTTATAAAAGGCAAAGCCCTCACTGACACACTCACTCACTCACTCATCACTAATTCTCCCACTTCCCATTTACCCAGGAGGCTGAAATTGGGTACACTGATTCTTTGGGCATTAAATAGGAAAACTAAGTAGTTTTTATTCTGATCGGGCTTTCGGGCTCCGCCCCAGTGGCTCTGGAGTTTCCCATGTTAACCTTATGAATTTTCATATTTAAAAAGAATTAATGAATCTTAACAGCTGTTTCAATTAAACAAGTTGGTTCTGTTCTTTGATGTTCAATAGCATTAAAGTTACAAGGATTACCAACAGGGTGCAGCACTATTATTTTTTTATTTATGACAACAGCTAATTTGCAACCAAAAGGTGAGTGAGCGTAGCGAACGAACTTCAACCTGGAGGCGAGTTAGCGTAGCTAACGAGCTAACCTGAAGGCAAGTGAGCGCAGCGAACGAGCTCCAACCTAAAGGTGAGTGAGCGTAGCGAACGAACTTCAACCAGGACAGATTGAGCCATGCGAACGAGCTCATCTTGAAAATTAAGAAGTTAAACGGGGCAAAGCCCGCGGGTACAGCTAGTATATGTATAAACAAACAGATAAATAATGAGAACAATTTATTTTATGACTTGAGCAGTCAAAAAGACTAGTGGCTGCATCTAAACGTCTGTAAGCTGTGAGAAAAAAATTTGATATTGGCTTCCTGGAAGGGGCCGGATAAACAGAGGACCGGTAAAACCAAGGCCGGATATGAGGGGTTCTACTGTAATAACAAATTGGCGCCCTAAAACGTTTCAAAACCAAATAACCAAGAGGGTGGCAAAAAAATTAACTTGCACCCTCGTTAACCTTTTAACTATTTGAGATATTTGAAATCGGTTTGCGGCACCTTCTTTGGAAATGAAGGGTTGCAAAAATTATGGTCAGTTTTGAAAATTTTACCCTTAGGGGTAGCGGGGGTAGGGGTTAGCTCAAAATGTTCAAATAGCAACTATAGTCGAGTTTGGTATCATTTTGTAGGTCTTGTCGGAACATAACAATTAACATAAATAAAATAGAAATCGGACCATTAATAACAAAATGGCAGCTAAAAATGACTGAGACAATGGTTATTTAAAGTAATTTTGAGCTGCCATTTTGTTATCAATGATCCGATTTCTATTTTCTTTATGTCAATTGTTATGTTTCGTCAAGACCTACAAAATGATACCAAACTCGACTATAGTTTCTAATTGAAAATTTTTAGCTACCCCCTACCATCGCTACCCCTAAGGGTAAAATTTTCAAAACTGGCCATAATTATTGTAACCCTTTATTTCCAAAGAAGTTGCCGCAAACCGATTTTAAATATCTCAAATAGTTAAAAAGTTAAAGATGGTGCAAGTTAATTGTTTTGCCACCCTCATGGTTATTTGGATTTGAAACGTTTTAGGGCGCCATTTTGTTATTAGTGAGCCGATTTTGGCTTTCTTTATGTCAATGTTCATGTTTCGTCAAGACCTGTAAAATGATACCAAATTCGACTATACTTGTCATTTGAAAATTTTGAGCTACCCCCTACCCCCGCTACCCCTAAGGGCAAAATTTTCAAAATTGACCATAACTATTGTAGCCCCTCATATCTAAGAAGGTTGCCGCAAACCGATTTCAAATATCTCAAATGGTTGAAAAGTTAAGTGGGGGTGCAGTTACTTTTCAGCCACCCTGTATATAGGGTGTCACAAAAATCTGTAGCGGGCTAAAAATAAGATTATAATCTAGAATAACTTTTTTCCTAAAATCGCTTCATTAACCAGATATCCGTCACTTTGTATTTTTCACCAAAAATTTTTATCTTTGGATTTTTCTAACAGATCTTTAAGAAACTTTGTATGTAGGTTAAGGTAGAATAGACCCATGTGGGAAGAAAAACTATATTTATCCATTAAAAAATTTCAAAATGGCGGCAATTTTAATTTTTTTAATTTCAAATTATTAAAAAATGGCAGATTCCATAAAAAATTGAAATGGCCGCCATTTTCAAATTTTGTATTGGATCAAAATAATTTTTTTTCTTACATGAGTCTATTCTACCTTAACCCATATAAGTTTCATAAAGATCCGTTGGAAATAATCCAAAAATAAAATGTTAATGTGAAAAATACAGAATTGGCGATTGGTTAAAGCCGGGTTTTCCTAGACGCGGAAGAGGAGCGCGGAGAGCGGAAAAGGGATTAACATGGCGTTCCGCTCCGCTTCTAGAAAAATAGTAACACTAAATTACCTAACACAAGAGGAGTCCGCTCTCCACGTTCCTCTCTCCGCGCCTAGAAAAACCCAGCTTCATGAAGCAATTTTGGGAAAAATTTTAGCCTATTCTTAATAATCATCTTATTTTTGTATGTAGAATCCAGTTCCGCATAGTCCGCTACGGATTTTTGTGACACTGTATAAGAAACTGAACAAAAGTAAGTATTCAACAAAGACCTTACTTGTACTGAATATCAGGTAGTCCTCTTTCACGCATATGTTGTGTTTGGAGTCTCTTCACAATCTGAAGACAATGTTCCTTGGTGTCACACTCTTCAGTATCCGTATACGTAAACAGTATCCAGTTAGCCTAAATTTAGAGTCAGCTGTTTTAGTGTTTGAAATTAAATGTTTCGGTCAATTAAGTTTTCATTTAAATACCCCCGCCGCAGCAAACCTGCAGACTAAGCGAATTTAAATTTACCAGTATTGGATTATAAATTAAATCTATATTTGAATAGCATTAGGTTTAACAACTACCTAGGTTTGCTGCTACAGGGAGGGTAATAAAGTGTGTTTTAGTGAAATATGAATAGCTTAGTATAAAATAAATAAATTTGCCATATTTGATAAATATTTATATTTATAAACAAGCAAACTACAACAGTTAACTAAATTCTCCATAAGTATAACATGGGAATTTTAAATTTTCAATTTATTCAATTTCCTTTGTAACCAATAATCACACAAAAACACTAAAAATATACTAAATGATTTGCTTTTTAAGCTCTTTGAAATTGTATAAAAACAAATTTGGAAATATTATGTTTTGAGGGTATAAAATGGGAAAAGCCTATTATAACACCCTGTCCCCTTAGTCCGATCATGCTGGTTCGCACTCATTTAAGTTTACCCCGCCCTACACCTTCAAGCCAAATTTCATCAAAATCGGACAAAAATTACTCAAGTTATCGCGTTCACAGATATAAATTTGAACGAATAGTGTTTTTGCCTTTATGGACATCATGAGAGGCATATTGGTCCCGGGCCTACAGTAATAGGGTAATAGCTACTTCCCTATAGCATAGACAAAAATAATTAAGTATAGACTGTCAGCTGTGCTGCGATTACCATAGCTTCTGGCGCACACCACTGGGAGCACCGTGTAGTTACTTAGCGTGTACGCCGTAACTACATGGCGCTCCCAACGGTGTGCGCCAGAACCTATGGTAACCGCAGCACAGCTGACGGTCTAAATCTTTTTGTCCATGCCTATAGGGAAATTCACTAAAAGCAGTGTTCAGCTAACTTATCTAAGAAAAATCAAGAGGTTGTAAACTGATAATAAAGTCAGATAGGCTACATAGGTGGACAACATGAACATGAACTAGACATCAGTCATAAATTTACGGAAGAGTTAGAAAAGCGTCTACTAATCAAATATCTAAGCAATTAATAGATTAACTTCCTAGCAACGTAGAGATTGTTTCAGTTTTGGTAAGAGGCGCAAGATGTTTAGGGTTTGTTGGAGGCGCAAGATAAAAATTTTCCTGCAAAAGGGGATGGGCGCAATAGCGTGTCACATGTAAATTGCGGGCCTGGAATGTAGAGTGCAGAAAAGATAACCAACTGTACTATAAACTGTAACTACAATAACTTCGAAACTGGATTTTGACCTTGGGGTGGTAAAAAGTAGTAGTGCGAAATAATAAGAGCGAAGAAAGTGTTTCAATGTTAGGATAGCTAATATACTATTATAATAGCAGTAGGCAGTAGGTACTGTAGTATTGAAAATGCTAAGCTATGTATACTCTTGTTTTGTACTAAAAAACATAGTTTCAATAAGCTTCTCACAATTTTTACACTGCTAAAGAAGTCATACTGGGGAGAAGACTACGAGGGAGACCGAAGAAACGCTGGACGGATAAGTAAAGAAAGATATGGCCAGGATGGAAGTCAATGAAGATACCGCAAGAGACAGGACGACGTGGAGGCAGTGTGTTGGTGAGGCCAAGTACCACTTGGGGTACAAATGGCCATGGGAGAAAGTAAGAAACACTACTAACTTCTTTTAGTGATAGGCCTACACACTACCTGCAGTAAAGAATCTACAAATGTCCTCATAACAATAATTTATTAGAAATATCTGCACACGCTGTTGGGTCAGTTGAACAGTTGGCAAGTTATGTTTAGGCTAACAAAAACTGCAGTATGGATAAAGTGATTAGCCATATTAACATGCAAGTTCTACAATAAAAACAGTCATCCAAATAATGGGGATTCATTTTCTCAGACTAAAGATAGTACAAGCTTGTTAAGAAAATTTTGCAATTGTACCTACAGAAAATCAGTTATTTTACCTACCATTTTACAGTTATTTTACCACTATCCAGTTGTACTAAATTTTTTTTTTAATATTTAAAAACCCATCTTTTAAATCTATCTGCAACAAATTCACAATTTAACAAATGTTTTTAATAAAACATTCAAGTCATGATCATTCTCAACTTAACTTCAAAATGAAGACTACGAGTAGAGAAACTATCTTACTGGTAGTTTCAGAGGCACAACAGCTGTTGGAGGTTCCGCTCCCCACTCTTCCCTAGTCACTAACGGCCGCTCCATTAGTTTGCTAGGAGGAAGCTCGAGTTTTGGAAAGTGAGGAGGAACTCCAAAATCATATACTGATAATTTTGACAAAGCTTCAAAGTCCAATTTAGGCTTTTTCTTTGACTTTTTCTTAGCCTTCTCATCTTTCTCACTAGCCATGGTCTGTACTTATTTGAATATTGATCTGTATAAATATTTGGTTTTGTTTGATCATTACAACTTTGAACCACATAGACTTATTTATCAGCTTATTGATAAAACAACACATTATCTCTGATTTTATTAGCCTATATGTTTACTGATAATATTAAGAAAAGTTTATTTTAAGAGGAGAACCCTCAACCTTACTGTGCAAGAAGGAATCTTGGGGATGGAAATTAGTAACAAATGCAGTAAAACCTAGAATTGTCTCTTTTACCTGTGAAATTAATGTTCAAAATATTTAGTTTAGAGTATAACAAAGCATAAATTTGTTAAGAAGTGTTTGTTAGTCACAACATAAAGTTACATTATCATTGGTATCACTGACTTTGTGTGTACTAGATTGTTGCATAAAAAGATAGAACTTCAAATTTCCATCTCTTTCTGCGTTGTTCTGATACAATCAAGTTATTTTATTCACACACATTTATCTATATATTAATAGGCAAGCATGTTTCTTTAACCTTTTTTCTTAGCTCATGTGCATCGTAGGGAAAATCTACGCATGCTGTTAAAAAGATATTTTTCTGCACATTTTAAAATTGCAAGTACATCCAAAAAAAAAGATAAGGTTAATTATTAATAATAACATTCCTATTTAAAACTAGAAGCAAGGAATAAGAAAATTGTTAAGTATTTGTTTGAAAATGTGTTTAATTTGTTATGAGTTAAAACTGAAAGTTACAGCCACTAACTAAAGTAATCAACTAATACATAAATACAGCTACACACTTGACATAAATTATGGATTAAATGTACATGAAATACAGTTTGTGACAATGGTCGTGTCATGTTACTAAAATATATTTATTTTCTAGGACAATTTTAATGATAGATTAAAATTATAATTATAATACAAAAACTATCACCAATGTTCTTATAAACAGAGAGAAAATTACTAAGAACCTAAGTGCTTAAACAATATTGTGATAAAAAATACGTTTAGAATTCATTTTCTAATAGACGGTTTAAATTTTTTGAATCTACAAAAAATACTCTGTGTTATCTGGGCTTGCCTCCATTATCATAAAATATGGAGTAATGTTTAAACACACACATGATAAGCGTAACTTTACGCATAGCTCTTCAACACAAAATTACACATACTGCTACAAAACAAATATAAAAATAACCCACCCTTCAGCTTCAAATTAAAGAGAAAACTACAGTTAACACTATCTATTGAGTATCTGAATGCAAGTGTACTTATACAGTTTCATGATATAAAATGGATTTATCGTAAAACTATTCAACATAAACATGCGAGTGAACCGTTTTGCTTCTTAGTTCTTCGTAGCTAACTTTGGAAGATATTGATACTTTGTTCCTTGTTCCATCACTCATGTTAATACATGGGGAGGCGGCTGAAATGAAAACAAGTTTAATTAGATTGATTACAAATGCTTTTAAAATATAAAACAATTTTTAGCTAATAATTTATTTATTTTCTGTCCAGTTTCCGACTTATTTTCAGATTGCTCGTGACTTTTAAATATTGAAATTTACACTTTTTTTCATTAAGTTTTTTTTTTATGACCGAGTTTCAAAATGACAAAAACCACACAACTCGGAAGGTAAAAGTAATTCTTGCTTCTGACTTGCCTAGTGCAGATAGTGAGAGCTCTATTATGAACAAAATAATATTGATGATATTGTTCATCTTAACGAGTTTTGGCAACAAACATTCTGGATCTTTCATGAAATGTATTGTGATGTAATTAATTGTTTAAAATTAGTGAATGTATCTTCAAAATGATATGGTTGACGGCAGTAGAGCGTTATGTAAATTTTTATGACAAACATGGCACACGATGGCATAAATTGACAAAGACAGCTTGTGGTAAAATTATGGCGTGCGATATTGCTTAAACAATTAAAAACCTCAGCGTAGTAAAATATACATCAAGCGAAATTTTTTGCCATTAATAAGCTTTTCTTTCAATTCGTCGGCCATATCCAATGCGTCAGTGTCACTCCACGCTAATATAAATTGTGCGATTTGTATTTATCATGTCGTCGAAAAACAAAGTTCTAAAGTAAGTAGTTTTATTTCAAAATTTGAACGTAACTGTTACAGTGATCAGACTTTAAAATTGATAGTTGTGAATAATATTTGTAATCCTGTGTAAAGCCTTAATTAAACGCCATGTTACACAAGATGCGTGGTTTTCTATATAGTTCACACGAACACTTAAAAATTAATGTGGATTATAAATTATACCACATTATCGATGAACTTGTATTATTTTATAAAAATAGACGAGCATCGCGTCCGTCCATGACTTAACACCCTATTTTCAAAAGAAACAAGTTGAAAATTAAAGATAAGTTAATGATATTACTTTTTGGCATAATAAGTTACGATTGGTTTAATTTTGTTAATACCTTCCTCCTCTGCCAATCGGCGAACGACTCCTGAATCTGTCCCTTGCACCATAGCCGCCGCCGTAATCATCTGTACCGCCGACTTCCCTTCCGGCGAACCTGCCTCCAGGGGCAGCTCCAGGCCGACGAATGTCTCCGTTGCCATAACCCCCCCTTCCGCCACCTCCGAACCTATCTCCGGCTCCATAGTCAGCCCTAGCTGGTGGTCCTGAGAAATCTCTTGGGGCAGCCAAATCTCTTGGTGGTTCGAAATCTCTTACTGCGTCTCTCCTCATCCCGATATCTCTGGTTCCACCGTAATCTCTCGGAGGCGCAGCACCCCTAGCTGCATAATCTCTGGCTGCTTCGACATCACGGACTGGAGGAATATCCCTGGCAGGATAATCCTGACTCGCTCCTAAATCTCTACCAGCAGGGTACGCTCTACGTGGGGGTCCGTCCACAGGGGGCAAGTCACGAGGTGCACCATAATTACGCCCTCCATTCATGTCTCTTTCACCTCCAAAGTCCCTTGCACCAAAATCTCTTCCATCTCTACCACCCATGTAATCTCTATCCGGAACATCCCTTGGAGGATAGCCTCTCCCTCCCATATCCCTTGGTGGAAAATCCCTGCCTCCAATGTCTCTTGGAGGGTAATCTCTGTCCATGTCTCGAGGTGGATAATCCCTCCCACCACCAATTCCTCTAGGTGGGTAATCTCTTCCTCCGTCTCTTGGAGGATAATCTCTAGCAGGAGCATCCGGACCTGCCCCAAAACCCCTTCGTGCACCAATGTCATCGTAGTCTCTTCCAGCCCCGAGTTCCCTCCGTCCGCCAAAATCTCTCTGAGGTCCAAAATCTCGGTCAGGATATTCGGGCTTACGTCTGTCAAAGTCATCAAATCCATCGTCTGCTCCGTACGGTTGTCTATCATAGGGCCTAGCACCAAACCCACCTCTTCCCCGGGGCATTCCTCTACCGCGACCAAAGTCACCACCTCTCCCACCGCGGAAATCTCCTCGCCCACCTCTGAAGTCACCCCGACCACCTCTAAATCCACCCCTATCCATTCCTCTTCCCCCACGAGACATACCCCCCCCTCGCGACATTCCCCCTCGACCTCTTGGTCGTCCACGAGAGATCTCTACTCGCAGCTTAGAACCAAGAATGCTCGCATTGTGTAAAGCATTTACGGCGGCTTCAGCATCTTCTTTCCTTTCAAACTCGACGAATGCGAAGCCAGGGGGATTGAACGCAACCCATACCCTAGTTAGTGTTCCAAACTTCTCAAACTCAGCTTCGATCGCTTCTTTTTTGATGTTCTCCAATAACCCGCCGACGTATACGATAGTTCCTTTGTCTGCTTTGTCGCTGTACACCCTGTAACGTATAAACCATACAGTAGTATTAATTAAAAACAAGGAAAACGTAGAAGTGTTATTGCAATTTACGTCGATGGGAAGCTGACGTAGGGAACTATCTTCAGAGAGGTAGTAGTTATCTATCTGAAACAAACTATGCAGTCGACAAAACTAAACAAAGCACAATATGTAAAGGCTACAAGTTTTTTTGTAGTTTGCAGAAAAAATACTATGAACAGTTAAAACTACTATAGACAAACTTGTGACGTTTTTAAATGTGCAATTAATATCAATTGATAGTTTGTATTTTATGTCATTTGATTCAATCATCAATTACAGTAGACCCTCTCTAATCCGGCACTCCAGTAATCCGGCGTCTCTTTACGGGAGGTCTTCCACAGTTACAGGCAAAATTATGATTATCTCCCGCGGCCGTGTAGAAATCATCATTCTCTCCCGCGGTCACGGAAACGTCATCGTCGTCTTGCGCGATCGCAGAAAAATCATCAAACATCTTCCGCGGTCGCAACAAAAATTTTATCATCTCCCGCAGCCGTGTAAACTTTATTGTCTACTCCCGCAGTCACGGGAATGTCATCTTCGTCTTTCGCGATCGCGGCAAAATCATGTACATCTCCCGTGGTCACAGAAACGTCACGTGATAGCACGAAAGTATGTGATTTTTAGTTATATGTGACTCTATTCTGATGCTGCTATGTATTCATACAAATAAAGTTTATTTTGACTTTGACGTCATGCGCGATCGCGGCAAAATCACGAACATCTCCCACGGACGTGTAGACGTTATCATCGCCTCCCACGGTCACGGAAACGTCATCTTCGTCATGAACGATCATGGTAAAATCATGATTATCTCCCGCGGCCATGTAGATGTTAACATCGTCTCCCACGATTATGGAAACGTCATCGTCGTCATGCCCGATCGTGCAATAGCGGTTTCAAATAGCGCAATCTTCTGAGTCGTGTTTTAATTGCATTTTAAGCGTTATTATTGATAACATTCCAGTAATCCGCCATTTTCACTAATCCGGCAGTATCACGGTCCTATATCTGCCGGATTACTGAGAGTCTACTGTACTACAGCTGAAATTCAAATGTTAATTTATAGACGTATGCACAATCTAAGACATAAGGACAAGAAGGAGAACTCATAATTTTTAAACAGAGCCTAATTACTGTTTTACGTTTACATAGAATTCTACTCAAAAATTTTTGAGTGATTCATAGATGTTGTCGTAATATCCAAATAAACAAAACAAAATAGTTAACCTAACACAGCTTGGTTTATCTTGCTGTAAGGGTTGTCTTATATAACAAGTAAAGTAAGCTTACAAATTTGTTTCATGGTGCTTATTTTGATAACGTTAACTCAAGAATAAGCTATGATTTCACTACACATTAAATTGAAACCATTATAAAGGTACTGCTTTGAGCCCCTTAAAGAAGCAGGAGGAAACACAAGAGTTGAATATTTATTTGATCGTAGAGTATTTTTAATCAATGATTTAATGTAGTAAATCTACTTAAGAAAACTGGATGGAAAAATGAAATAAGAAATAAATGCGATAGATTTTAAATATTGTTAGCTACGTGGTATTTGATCCCCATATTGTTAGCTACGTGGTATTTTATCCCAATATTGTTATGTTAGCTACCTGGTATTTTATCATTTTTACGTGGTATTTTACAAAAATAAATACAGAAATAAATGCGATAGATTTTAAATATTGTTAGCTACGTGGTATTTGATCCCCATATTGTTAGCTACGTGGTATTTTATCCCCATATTGTTATGTTAGCTACCTGGTATTTTATCATTTTTAAGTTTTTAGGTTCAATGTATTCTGCATTGGTGTTCCTTTATTTTGAACCATAGCTGAAATATTATCATGGTTGAGAGCAGTTAATACAGTTTAGTAGGCCTACAGATTTTTTGTTTTAATCAGATAATGCATCACTCAAAAGATGTAAGCCAGGCTATGTTACCTTTAGGCTTACCCACAAGGCCTATCTCATGATAATAAAAGTGTTTCTCCTCAATGCAGCACCATCCTTAACATGAGGCCTGGTGCAAGAACTATTGCGAAGTAATAGCTTTGATATAACTAGTGCACCTGTTGCTCGTTTTTGAGCAATTACTAAGTATTACAGGCGTTATTTCAAAACTAATAATAGTCATAATTTCCTATGACTTAAAAAAAAGTCTACTTAAAGATAATGTTATCGCTCCACTCTAGTTATTAAAACTGAAAACGAACTCGCTCTGAAAAAAAAAATGCTCACTCCACTCCAGTTATTGAAACTAAAAACTAAGTCCAGGGTGTCTACTACATTCTGGATAAAAATTCAATGGTCAATTCCCGTACATTTAAGGACACTTTGTCGTAACCATTGTCGCACCGATTACCGAATATATTTTCCTGATTTGTCAAACTGTATTAGGATAATCTTGTTCTTCACTGTAGTTGTACCAGAGAGATAAGTAAGTAATAAAAGACAAGAGTTGAATTTCAAAATAGAAATTTATTGAAATGAGCAAACATTTACTTTGGGAAAAGCTTTAGTGTAGGTAACAGAGAAACCCAATCATCGTCTACCGCAATAGCGACAAAATCCTGAATATCTCAATCGGTAATGGAAACATTATCATATCATATCCACAAGCTCTATCTCTTGTTTCTTTACGCTTAGGCCTAGAACAATAATTTTTTTTTTTTAGATTAGTTATAAATGTGCCTTTTAAATTAATATACAGTCTAACCTTGATATAACGAACCTCGATACAACGAATTCCTTGATATAACAATTTTTTTTTTAATCCCCTAGAACTCTCCGTAAGACACAATGTATATTTTACCTCTACATAACGAACAAACCATAACAACGACCTTGATTTAACGAATTTTTCGTGATTTCGGCTAAAATAAGACACCTCAATATAGCGAACTTATCATTGTCAGAACCTCTACATTGCGAATTTAACCTCTCGCATAACGATGTGTGTACGTCTTTCCCTTGATGTAACAAATCCCCCACCCCATTATTGTTTTTGAAAAATCTGTTTCTTTATAAAATGAAATGGAAAGGTGACATCATCGCTTGCGCTAACATTCGTCTGCTCCGTTTTACACATCTGTCTGCTGTCGCTGCGCACGCTATGTTGCAACTGAGAACTGATTTCATTCACTGAGGACTGATGACGACGTAATGTTTAGTAAGCTGTGATTGGGCGATTAGTAACTATGGTGAATTGTACAATTTTTGGATAAAGAGAAACCTAAGAAAGAATATAAAAACAAAACCAAAGAGAAAGAATAGCAACATCGTTATTTTAACATTCCTTTTTCGAGTGTTTTTATTATCTTTAAGTTGGCTATGATTATACACTTTTATAATGACTTATCTAATAATTTACTGTATTGTTTTCAATACGATTTGTTTCAACTAGCAACACCAATGCTATAGTTTAATGATTATTATTGAAATTCCTCTGTTGTGATAAATCAGTACTGTACTGTAAGCAGCCTACCGGCCTATCACGAGCAGTAGCTTACAAAACTTTCTACAGTAGGCCTACTACTGTTTTGTTTTGTTCTTTGCATGGTTTATGACTACGCAATACAGTGTTTGGCTAGGTTTTAGGAGGGTTAGAACAAGCTGTGATTTTAAACTTACAGTTTTTAACCTGTACCAAGGTCAATGCCATTGTCATGATTGCGCAATATTCAAGATCCCTCCCCTTTATTATGCCGGATAATTTAGGTTCTACTGTACAATGTAAACACTGTACTGTAAAGTATTGTAGCCTATGCTACTGTAATTGTGTTTTAATGATGTCTAATCCCGACGTATATTGACCGACGCTGGTTCTGAACCTCGACTTAGCGAAATTCCTGCAAACATAACCTCTATATAACGAACCTCGTTTTAACGAAATCCTTGATATAACGAATATTCAGTTCGGTCCCTTCAGATTCGTTATACTGAGGTTGGACTGTACAATTTATTGGGTTGGATTTATATGTCCCATTTGGACAATCAGCTGGCCAGTAAACAAACATTTAGCAAACGTCCGATATATCAGACTATGGCGGCCAAAGACATAAGTAAGTTATCTCCATAGACTGTTTTTGCGGTTTGTAAAAGGTATTTCAAAACACGATAAATAATAATTTCAAAAGTGCGCTTGTTTGAACTTTGTACAAAGTGCAAAAACTATCTGGAGATAATAGGCCTAAGTTATAAATCAACAACCCGATTCATTATAACCTAAACTTTAGGCCTACCTTCCTAATCCAATCTAACTTCAAAACACTTAAAATAATACAGTCACAAATCCGCATAGCACGCAACCTACCAACCTCACATGTCTAAATATAAGAACTGAAGTAGGGCCTATTTCATAATCAACGTTCAGTTTAATTTAGGCCAACCTCTTTGTTAACATACTGTTTGTCATCTCAGGTTTCTTCTTCTTCCCTAGACGATCATTTCAATCGTTATTGTTTGTGTTAGTCAGTCAGTTCACAGTAATGGCGACAGAGACCAGCCAACAAGAGACATTACAGTAAGCTAATAAACATCAAAAATTGTCATTTAGGCCTAAGTTAAGTTAATTCAGTTTTTGTGACAGCAGAAAAAATTTTGAACCATTGTTTTCAGGTAAAAGAAATCTAGTTTCTAACTTAACCCTCCGAGGGTCCATCGTCGAAAAATCGACGCGCTACACACTTTTTCGACGCGCGAACATCGTTTACGGCGAAGGCTCTATGACTGACTGAATCGGATTGAACTGGATCGAGTTAGGTATCGTTCTTTTCATTATATTCTAAGCTTTCTCCAGAGGTCTGTCTCAGCGCTGTATGTTCTCCGAGCCGATCGTAATTGTAGCGGACAGCTGACGTGCGTATTTGTAAATAGCTAGGTTACCCTCGGACCGATGTGTTTTATTACGTTTATCATTGTTTTAGTGTTAAAAATCAAAAGTAGTGATATACTTACGTGGTGCATTATAAGAAGATTTAAGTGATTTTGAAGGGCTGGTTGATGATCCTGAAGAAGTAGGTAGTGATATTGATGTAAATTATCAGCCAGATTCCTAGCTATGGTTAGGCTATGCATTCTTAGCTAAACGCCATGTACTGAAATCTGTTTTTTGCCCATAACTTATTTATTTGCAAATCTACTTCCTTATATTATTATATATTTGTAATCCTCATAAAATTTAGAACAAAGTGGCTATTTTCAAATATTTATAGGCCTATAATTTAAACAATTTCATTGAGCGCGAACTTTTTTTTTTTGAAAATTTTCCAAAATATTTTTTTTTTACCTAAAAAATTGTTTTGAAACAAATGTTCCTTATGTTTTATGTATAATATTGAAGCCCATGATTTTCCAAACAAAATGGTATATAGAACAGTAGAATTAACACTGTTTTAAGCTTCTCAGATCGGTTTTAATAAAACCTTGCAAATGCGCCAAAAATCGGCGGACATTAAGGCCTAAACTATGGACACTCAGATAATGATGTAACTTAAATTACTAAAAACTTTCTCTTAGTCACCCTCGTCACAATATTTTCAGTTATGTTGCCTTGTAACTTAGGCTTAACCCTCCGAGTGTCACGCGTCATAAAAACGACGCACAACACACTTTGTGTAGGGTCACGCGTCGCTTTTAAGACGCACAAACATCGTTTACGGCGAAGGCTCTATGACTGACTGAATCGGATTGAACTGGATCGAGTTAGGTATCGTTCTTTCCGTAATATTCTAAGCTTTCTCCAGAGGTCTGTCTCTAAGCGCTATTCATTTTAGTTCCAAAAATATTGTAGCAGACAGCTGACGTGCGTGTATTTGTAAACAGCTAGGTTCCCCCGGACCGATGACTGATGTGTTTTATTACGTTTATCATTGTTTTAGTGTTAAAAATCAAAAGTAGTGATATACGTGGTGCATTATAAGAAGATTTAAGTGGTTTTGAAGTGCTGGTTGATGATCCTGAAGAAGTAGGTAGTGATATTGATGTAAATTATCAGCCAGATTCCTAGCTATGGTTAGGCTATGCATTCTTAGCTAAACGCTATGTACTGAAATCCGTTTTTCGCTCATAACTTATTTATTTGATAACTTACCTCGCTATATGATTATATATTTGTAATCCTCATTAAATTTAGAACAAAGTGGCTATTTTCAAATATTTATAGGCCTATAATTTATATAATTTCATTGAGCGCGAACTTATTTTTTTTTTTGAAAATTTTCGAAATTATATTTTTTTTTACCTAAAAATTTTTTTTTTGAAAAAATGTTCCTTATGTTTTATATATAATATTGAAGCCCATGATTTTCCAAACAAAATGGTATATAGAACATTAGAATTAACATTGTTTTAAGCTTCTCAGATCCGTTTTAATAAAACCTTGCAAAGGGGCCAAAAATAGGTGGACATTAAGGCCTAAACTATGGACACTCGGAGGGTTAATATAACTTCTGCTACGGTGCTAGGTAACATTCTTTTCCTTAAGTAGGTATCAGTTACCTAGGCGAACAGCATAACTTAACCCTTAACCTACATGATCATGTAAAAACTACATTATTTAGGCTATAACAAATAGCCGAGACCTAGGCCTACCCCTACCAGAAGCTTAACAACATCATAACGTAATAAGTTAAATCCCACAAGCTGGGTCACAGACAAAGAAATCAAGTATCAAGTAAAGTTTCTAATCAAGGTAAATTACAAGACTCTAGGACTAGAGCGTAGGTCTAACTTATCAAATTGTATCATCAAACAGGATCTAACAAGAGAAGCCATCATGGCCCATTCCAGAGGGCCTGATGCTTTGATAGGCTAGGCTACAAAGGGAAATGCCTTTAAACTTGTAAGGCCTAAATAATGATCTTTTCCCGTGTTAATGTAGGCTTAAAACATCAAAAATTTGGGTGCAATTATAGAGAAGTAGCAATAGGACGCAGTCGACTAGTCTAGTGAGCTGTAGTGTCAAGGACTAGGCCTAGGAGAAACGATGCCGCGGCCGCGCCGCCGGCAAGACCTGACCAAGCGTCCTCGAAAAATCAATAGCATACCGATTTGACACGACACGACGTTACCAATTATCTAAATAGTGATAGTACTACTTACATTGTTGCGAATTATATGAAAATGTTGGCGAATGATGATGTCTTGCATACAATAATTTAAATTCCTTCACTTCTAGAATCGACCAGTCCAAACAATATGGTGGCGGCTGAGGCGAAGAAGGAAAGAAAGAAAAGAGAAGAAGCAAAACTAGCAAAACTAACAAAGTAAGAAAAAAAGAAGAACTTAGAGGGCATTGACATTGACATTCAACGATTCAACCAACCCATGGTTGAAAGAAAATACATAGGTGTGCTATTCCCGTCATATGCTGACGTCATCCAGATTGCAAACAAAATATCACCCGATTGTATTGCCATATAGTTATAGCGTTATAGCATAGATAAAACATACTATAGCATTGATAAAACATAGTCCCTTAGTATGTTTTATCTATGGTTATAGTTATTTGTTTTTATTTGATTGTTATTGTTTATATATTTGTTTCTAGTTTTTGCAATCTAGGTGACGTCAGCATATGACAAGAATAGCCAAGGCCCCCTAGCGTCTCATGTTCCTCTTCCAGAAACTGATGAGAACCTTTTCAGCGAAGGAGCGGGGGATTGTGGGAGAGCCCCTCACGTAGATTGATGAAAATCTTTAAATTTATTTCATATTTTATTAGTTAAAAAATTATTTTTTTAATTATAACATTAATTTGAAGAAAAAATCATTATAAAATTAAACTGTCATAACCTAACCTAACCAACCAAACTTGCTGATAATATAAAAAAGATATAAGATAAAAATCGAATGAAGGTTTACTGTATTTATAATTTGTAATTATAAAATAAATTTAATTTTTTTTATAATAAAATTAAACTGTCATAACATAACCGAACCAACCAAACTTGCTGATATTAAAAACATTTTAAAGATAAAAATCGAATGAAGATTTACTAATTTTAAACAAATAGTTCTGTTCATAAATACAATTATAAATGCCTCAAATTCGAACAAAAGATGTACAGTTAAGAAGTATTCGCATTCTAAGCAAAATCTTGGACAAAAAGTTAATTCCGCCGGCGGGATTCGACCTGGAGACCTCCAGATCACCAGTCCGAGACGCTACCAACTACGCCACCTAACCAGCATTAGAATATGTTGATAGGGAATATGTGAGCTACCATCATGCCAAATTTCATCCGCCCAGTAGTTTATGCGTGTTTGAACTTCAAACACACAAACTTACACATTTATAATATTAGTAAGATTATTTTAGATAAGATTCAAGATTTTTATTGTCATAAACACAAAACAGACATGGACAAGCGTCAATATTATAATACAACACATCAATTATTTCTAGATAATGTATACGTTCAATGAAACAAATATGATACAAATATCATAATGCAACAAAGTAAATGTGGTAAAAGCATAGCGAAAAGTCTCAATTATTGATAACAATATCCCTGTTTTTAATATAGTATACAGTAAATAGCAGAGTTAAACTGGCAAATAAGTAATCCAACTAGCAATGTTCAGTGCTGACTTGAACGATAATTTTTATGGAGAACATTTTTAGCGAATTTCCCATATAGGGAATAAGCTATTACCGTAGCACCATAGATAAAACCATAGATAAAACATACTCCCTTATAAAACCATAGATAAAACATACACTCCTCTAGTTGTGTTGGTTAGTCTATGATAAAACATAGTCCCTTAGTAGATTTCCCATCCTTATGGAACAGCTGAAGCCAATTTTATTGTTAGTTCTGTCGGGTTTTCTGTAGATGTCGTGTTTTGTTTACAATTTGTTTCTTGTTATTTCAGTAATTTAAAACCAAGTTTAACCAAATAAAACTATCTAATCATAAACAATAACTCGCTCACTAGCTATATAACCAAAAAGTGAGACACAAATAATGAGAAACTACCCCTAAAATAAAAGAAACAAATTGTAAACAAAACACGACATCTACAGAAAACCGGACAGGACTAACAATAAAATTGGCTTCAGCCCTTCAGCTGTTCCATAAGGATGGGAAATCTACTAAGGTACAATATCACAGACAAGGGAGTCAATGGTACTATGTTTTATCTATGGTAGTACTCATGGTAATACCTGGACCCGGGACCGATTTATTTTTCTTTTTGAGGTCCCTAGAGGCAAAAAACACCATCCGTTCAAATTCCCACATATATAATATGTCCGTTAGCACGATAACTCAAGCAAAAATGATCTGATGTTAGTGTGTGGGGGGCTTATTAACTTGAAGAGAAGGTCTCTGGTGATATCCACACGGCGATGGACAAACACTGAGCTAAAATTATAACTGGAGGTAGCACTGCCATGGCAGAAGTCTGTCAAAAGCGAGTCGCTGATTTTGTTAGGTTGGTATAGCAGTAAGTTTTCTTACCATAGCAATAACATGGCTTCTTATAACTAGGTTGGTATAGCAGTGAGTATTTTTGTCATACTTGAATACTTTTAATACTTTAATAATTTTCTTTGAAATGGCGACCATACAAAGTAGGTATTTTAAGCCAAGTATAATAATAGTTATAGCAATAATATGGCTTCTTATGACACCAGACTCACGCAAACATGGCGGCTGGCGACACGCATCTTTGACATTCAGTGCTACCTCCAGTTAGAATTATAGCTCAGTGTGGACAAACCGCGTATATTCGGGAATGCGTCAAGGCACCACCACGTCAACCTGCCACCAAAAAGAAGAAGAAGTTTGAACATGGTGGCTCGTTGTCGGAGTGGCACATGGTGGAAGGAAATACAGGTGTGATATTCCCGTCATATGCTGACGTCCCCCAGATTGCAAACAAAAAAAAAAAATCACGTGATTGTATTGTCATATAAGTATATATTTGTTTTGATTTGATTGTTATTGTTTTAATATTTTTTTCTAAATGGTAAAATGGTGTTTGCAATCTGAGTGACGTCAGCATATATGACGGGAATAGCCCACATATGTATTTTCCTTCCACCATGGGGGTGGCACGTTGACTTGAGCGTGCACGACGACCCTCAGATAAATATAGGGTGGCGGATTTACCGTGGTGGCATATTTTTGTCATAGTGGTGCATACATGTTCATCGCATGTCAACCAGCCACCTCTTTAGTGTGGTGGTGGGTTGACGTGGCGACTGGTTGACGTCTACGTGTGAGGTGGCGGGTTGACGGCACCGAACATCGAGCATACACGACAACTTACCACCTCGTAATAGAGTGGTGGCAGGTTGACGTGGTAGCACGTTGTGCGGGGTGGCGGGTTTGCGGTAGTGAACATGGGGCGTATACCCGCCACCTTCGTTGACAAAAGTGGCCGTTGTCCCTGCATTATAAAATGCATCACTTTTGCAGTTGACACGACGATTTTTTTTATCTAGTTTTCAAAGTACTGGACAATTATGGTGGATGTAAACCATTAGTTATTATTAAGACACTAATGTCGAAGTGGGTTTCCTATAAAGATCTGCCATGATAATCATTTATACGCATCCAAGCAAGAATTTTTTTTCCCTTTTAATTAATAATGATTATTCTTAACAAAGTTGTAAGATAAACTCACTATCAATTAATGATTGAGGGCCATGCTATATAGAAATTGTACTACTTAGAATACTGCTGCAAAATACAGGGGCTATAATATAATATTGGAGGAAACGCCACAATATAGGAGTTCAAGGTTCATTTCCAATGCGATTTGAAATAACTAAGCATTAATTTCCAATTCTACATAATATTAATTAATTATATTATATTATTAATTATATTATATTAATTAATATTAATTAATTGCATTAATTCTTCAAAAATCGTGTATAGTTATTTTAGCGAATTTCCCATTCGGGGAATAAGCTAGGCCCCACTCCAGGATCGATTTACTGATTCGTTTTGATGTCCCCAGACGGCCGTGCCCCAGAGGTCAAAAACAATATCAGTTAAAATTCATATATATGCTACAGTAATCTATACTATTATAAAGAAGAGGTGGTGTCTGTGTGTGTGTTTGTATGAGCTAATCTCAAAAACTACTGGTCGGATCGGGCTGAAATTTGGCATGATGATAGCTCACATTCCCGATTAACATATAGGCATATTTTTATCCCAAAAAATCCTTCGGGGCTCCGCCCCAGTGGCTCTGGAGTTTCCCATGTTAACCTTATGAGAAATGGAATTAATGAATCTTAACAGCTGTTTCAATTAAACAAGTTGGTTCTGTTCTATGATGTTCAATAGCATTAAAAGTTACAAGGATTACCAACAGGGTTCAGCACTAGCACTATTATTTCTTTTACATTTGTGACAACAGCAAAAGGTGAGTGAGCGTATCGAACGAACTTCAACCTGGAGGCGAGTGAGCGTAGCGAACGAGCTAACCTGAAGGCAAGTGAGCGTAGCGAACGAGCTAACCTGAAGGAAAGTGAGCGCAGCGAACGAGCTCCAACCTAAAGGTGAGTGAGCGTAGCGAACGAACTTCAAAAAGAACCGAAATTTCTTAAACCATGTCCTCACTCATAACTGCTATAAGCATTTGATACTTATATGCCAACCCCGTACGAAGGACGGGTACTCTGCTAGTAATTATTATATTAATGTAGTTTATGTTCATAAATAAACTGCGTAGGGAGTATAGCCGTTGCGTGTTTTGGGGTGAAGATTATTGTTTAACACTTTTGTAAACCCCTAACTGATGCCGACTTGGTCTTATTGATCCTGTGCCTTATTGCGCCAACCAACATTTTGTCTATGCTTATATTATCTGGACTGTTGTGAGTTAAAAATCATCCGTAAACGTCTCGAGCTACATATATTCGCTCATTTTACTAACTTTCGCTGCGATATCTGGTTTAGTTCTAATACACAAACATATCCTCAACATCGCACTCCCTTCCGTGAAAGGTTACCGTCGTCCTCGAGTATATCTTTCTTTCTTCTAGCGTTTCGTTTTGTAAATCCGCCATTCATTGTTGTGTAATCAAGCCGGACCGGACTTCAATTCTAAGCAATAATAAGTGACTAGACTACTGATTCTGTGTAAGTATGATTTGTATTTACTAATGCTTCCACTTATTTCGATATGCTGTTAAATATGGACTAACTAGCTGTAACCCGCGGGCTTTGCCCCGTTTAACTTCTTAATTTTCAAGATTATCTCGTTCGCATGGCTCAATCACGTCCTGGTTGAAGTTTGTTCGCTACGCTCACTCACCTTTAGGTTGGAGCTCGTTCGCTACGCTCACTCACCTTTAGGTTGGAGCTCGTTCGCTGCGCTCACTTGCCTTCAGGTTAGCTCGTTCGCTACGCTAACTCGCCTCCAGGTTGAAGTTCGTTCGCTACGCTCACTCACCTTTTGGTTGCAAATTAGCTGTTGTCATAAATGTAAAAGAAATAATAGTGCTGCACCCTGTTGGTAATCCTTGTAACTTTAATGCTATTGAACATCACAGAACAGAACCAACTTGTTTAATTGAAACAGCTGTTAAGATTCAATAATTCCATTTCTCATAAGGTTAACATGGGAAACTCCAGAGCCACTGGGGCGGAGCCCGAAAGGATTTTTGAAATAAGAATATGCCTATATGTTAATCGGGAATGTAAGCTATCATCATGCCAAATTTCAGCCCAATCCGACCAGTATTTTTCGCGTTCACTTGTCACAAACATACATCCATACATCCATACATCTATACATCCAAACTTTCTCATTTATAATATTAGTAGGATCACCGGTGAGTCTCCGCTTTAAGTTATTTCGTAGCCTAAGTTTTGAACGCATTTTAGCTGTGAAGTCCATGTTACAGAATTAAATTATGGTCTAATGTTCCATGTTCCACTATTTAAGCTAAACTTGATCAGCAAGTCTTGCTGCATTTGTAAGGGGCTAGTAGGCTAGCATAGTCAAAGCTAGTAGGCAACCTCCTCAAACTTAAATTTTTTTGATAGGCATTATTTATTTTGGTACCCTAGTCTAAGTTTAGCCTATTCTAAGTTAAGTAATGAACTTGATTTTTAATTAGGCCTGGTCTACACACTGTAGGTAGTAGTGCTGTAGGTGCTCGTGACACCTTAGCTGGCACTTGGCCTAGCGCGGGCAGTATAGGCGGGAGGAGGGTGGAGGTAGGGAAAAGACCGGACTGCAAAAATTTTGCTGCCTTACGGGGGTGACTCCCCTTGTATTATGTACTTGAGCGCCTTCATATGGGTCGCGAGGACAGTTGATGCATTCCGCATGACTGGGCAATTTTTTTGAAATAGGCACTAACTTAGTAGCGATCGGCCAAGTGCCAGCTTAGATGTCACGAGCTGTAGTAGGCTAAATTCTTTGTTCAATCAGGCCTACAACCGAATCAATGTGATATCTGGAAATATTAAAAGTATTTTTTAGTCTAGGCCTAACTTAGTCTTGCAGTAAATAACAGGTCTGGGGTACAGTTTCATAACTGGGCTATGTTTGAATATCTATTGAAACTAAGTTATCGAATTGAAAATATTGACTAACCAGGACCAGGGTTGCCACCTTAAGCCAGGAGAAATCGGGACTTTGCCCCCCTCCCTTCTGGATTAACATTAGGCTTAAATACGGGCATAAGGAACCAACATCGGGACTGTCCTGGTAGAATCGGGACGGGTGGCAACCCTGCCTAGGACTAAGTTACCCTGACCTGATTTATGCTAAAAAATGCTCGGTGCCCTTGCAATTTTGGCCATTTTGCTGAGGTTTTTATAACAGTTTGCAGTGCCTAAAGTATGTTGATAACCTAGTCATATGCATAACTTACTTGTTTTGTTCAGAAAAGGTGAAAGATTTAACTTAACTTAGAATAAAATTAAACAACTTATCAAGAATCCTTGTTGGTGGTTTTTTTTTTTTTTTTTTTTTTGCAAAATGCGAACTAGGCCTAGCACAAACTGATTGAAATTGAAAGGATTGTCTAGGGAAGAAGAAGAATCATAACTTAAGATGACAAAGAGCCAGTTTATACTAAGAGGTAGAGGCATTTGTAAATTTAACTGAGTGTTGGTTATGAATTACTTCAATTCTTATTAAGACACGAGAGCGAAATCTCACCGGCAACAACACGCAGCGGCGAATTCAAGGCACTTTGTGTATGAGACCTTGACAGTTAGTGATGCACTTTCATCATCTTCCTGAGCTAAAACGGAAATAACCCTGAGCGCAGGTACATTTCTTCCTCTTCAAAATTACATATAACAAGTAATAATAACTTGCACTGTATGTAATTCGTATTTTCGATAAATACGAAAATAAAGAACAACTCAAGTTCTTTCCAATGGTACCAACCACTTCCTGTTTAGGCAAAAATTACGACTTGTTGATTTTTTTCAAGATAAGTTAATACGTGTTTTACGAGATTTTGTCGATCGCTACAAATTTTACGCACGCAAAATATTGTTCATATTATAATAGCATTTAATTGATTTGTTGGAAAATAAAAGTTCAGGATCCTATTTCCAACGGTATCAAAATTATTACGCTTCTGGATCATTTTCATTGCGTAACTTGAAACAAAAATCTCCAAAACGCCGTTAACACATCAGAACGCCGTTTAAACGGCGCAAGGCAGTTATAGGCAGTCCTAGGGTTAAGAAACTGTACCCCAGGTCTGCCTTGATTATATTCAACGTAGACCCTAGCCTAGTTGGTAATTACTGTAGGCCTACTTATCATACTACAGTATATAGGTAGGCCTATTTAGGTTCCTCCTAACAAATTTTTTATTTTGATATCTTAACTTAGGTACTTAGTTCTTAACCCTAGAAGTGGCGAATTGACAAAAAATTACTATTTCAAAATGTGTTGCAGGAGTGGCGGGCGACAAAATTTGTAGATTAACGTATCGTTTTTTCGCATTGCATGTTACGCATAGTTAACTTGTAGTCAGTAAAATAACATAAGTAACTCTTATACATAGGCCCCTACCTGCAGAAAAAGATGAGATTCTGAAGTTTCATTTTATTACAAAAATGAACCCTAGGTAAAAAAAAAACATACCAAATACTGGACACCCACCAAATGCCGGACTCGTCGGGTTTCAATAATAGTTTCAAATAATAAGGTTTGCTTCATCTGACCAACACCAACTTAAGATTAATCCATTCGTTGGTTTTTAATCTGTCTGCACTGCAGACAAATAGGTTTGTAAATCGTCATTGGTCACTTAACTTAGATCCAGCGAGCCGCGATTGGTCATGCTGTGTACACAGTTTTGGCGAATTTCTAAAATCTCTTGTAAGTTAGGCTATTTCAAGAGATCCTTGAAATAGTCTGTTTCCTTAAGCTATTTCAAGAGATCCTTGAAATAGTCTGTTTCCTTAAGCTATTTCAAGAGATCCTTGAAATAGTCTGTTTCCTTAAGAAAACGGTTGAGTTTCTTAGGCTTCAATAAGTTAACTATTCCTGCCCATTTGTGATAAAGTAGCCTTGTTACAGTTGTTAATATGAATATTTAAACATTTTTCTGTTATTTTAAACCGTAATAAAGACCCAGAAACTATTGTAAGATTAATTTTCAAGCCATCCAGAATTAGGATGGCGAAATGTAGGCCTACACTAAGTTTAAGCCTAAGTTTAGGCCCACTGAAGTGTAACGTTTTCCGTGGCATAGCCTATTTTTACTTATTAATTTCAAATGGCTATAAAATCCATAATTATTAAAATTAAAACTACCATTCCAAAATACCAACTGACCTATCATGATTAGCCCCTTCACATTCCTACAGTTATAGTCATTCTGTCCTTGTTTATATTGAAATAAGATAAAACGCAAAAAACATACTAGAGGTCAACTCACCCCATCTCCACGTAGTCTACATGACTCACATTCCAGGGAATGCCTAATAGTTTACATATCTGGGCCTGTTATGGATCTAAGAATAAAAACTTAATTTTAACACCTAACCCTGTGTGTAATAAAATTCTTTACATCTTACTACACAGGAAACAGGTCCAGCTGACCTAGTGAGATCATCCCCTTCACAACCATGATTTAACTCGACCCTTGTTATTTTTAATGTGCTAAATCTTGTATGAGACATCCTAATTTAAGTATTTAATGAGAATAAAAATTACTTCAATAAGTTTTTGGGCTTCCTGAGCGTCGGCAGGATTGCCGTCCGGTATTAGGCGGCACAAATCTGGTATTAGAAAATTCGAAAAACACTGGTATTGGTTGAAAAACAAAATTTCTGGTACTGTACCACAATATGTATCATTATTGTTGACTAGAAAATTCGAAAAACACTGGTATTGGTTGAAAAACAAAATTTCTGGTACTGTACCACAATATGTATCATTATTGTTGACTTCAAACGCTGAAAATTAAATCAGGAAATATTAGCATTAATTTGAATGGCTATCCATTTTTTATAGAGGAGAGATGACGAACTCTGGTTTTCACCATTCTTTAAGGTTTTGTGAACACTTCAAAATGAGGTGTCACTTGATGGGGGTTTACATTTAAATTTTTTGGGTTGCCCCCCAAATCCCCCCTTTTGGGGGACTCTCAAAAATTTTAAAATCATAAAATGAAATTTCCTGCTAAGATTGCATGACCACCAAAAGGATATCTTATTTACTTAGAAGATATTAGAGAGGGGGGTCTTGACTTTTTATTCATCCTGTAGTTGATGGACAGTAGAATTCAATGTTGTCAGGATGGTCACACAAATAGAAGCTTTGGATTTTTCAAAGCTGAAATAACAGAACACTTGTCTTCGTCTAACCTAAAATGGCTGCGTCGTCCGATGATAAGACAAAGTGAGGGGTTTGTCCGTAATTTTATAGTGTAATGTGCGTTTTAGTTTATTGTTTTGTATTAGGTGTAATATTTATGCATTATTTCACATAAATATTTACACATGTGTGATCCAAAGTATGATAAACAGTCAGTGAAGTTTTGTGGCCTATAACAGCTAATCAGTTGTTTTGTTTACATTTTTACTTTTGTGAAAACAAACTATTCTACTACTTATCTTATTAGTTAGTTATTCTTATGTTGAAACTGAAACATATATTAGCTTAAAAAAATGTATGGTTTTATGATATTGATTTATTATTAGAGAGCATTTTTGAATCTATCAAAGTGTATTTGTAGAAATTGACGCTTTCCACATTTTCCGTATTGTGGCTAGTAAATACAAAGATAATTCTTTTATTTATAATATCTATGTAGCCTAGAGAAATAAATTCTGTATAATTACATATTTTGAATTGTGAAATAAAAATTTATTTTAAATGTGACAAGTTTTTGGTTTTGAAAAAAAAAATTAAAAACAAGTTATTTTTAGTTTTTTTACTTTTTTATAAAAATCCACATTTCTATAATTGGTTTGTATTACCATTTTTCAATTCTACTGACTATTACGAACAATATGAATATAAGGTTCAATAGTTTATCTGGTACTTTCCTGTTAAGGGGAATATTCACTAAACTTGTGTTCTTTTCTATATATCAATATTTAATTCCTTTACGATCCGTGGCTGCACTTTACTTTAGGTCCTACACTCATTCAAATGAAAATATCGATTATTCGATTTTTTCATTCGATATATTGTTTGGTTGGTTAGGTTAGGTTAACCTTACCTAACTAACCAAACAATATATCGAATGAAACAATCGATTAATCTATATATCGATCGATATTTTCATTTGAATGAGTGTAGGACCTAAAGTAAAGTGCACAAACTCATTTAAATTACAGACAAACAGACATAGCAAATATGTCGTTCAAGGTAGGCTATACATTGTTCAATAATCGAGTTATTGCTCGTATTAGAGAAAATGATTAAGCCCAAACAAGCTATAATAGCCTATAAGTTTAGGCTATGTTGTATTAAGCAATTAAACTATTCTAAACTAACCTAACATAACCAACAATATCAAACATTCCTGGATTGAGCACGCTGCGTTTGCCCGGCGGTCCGGTGCTCCCCCCACCACTGCTTGGCAAAAGACCCTGCTGCCCTGCACTCACGATTATAAAACGCCTCTCTTTAGCTCCGTCCTGGTCGGTTAATATTGGGTTTTAATAATGCTATTGTATTTCTAACCTTTCTTTCTTAGTGTCCTAAGATGTCATAATCGAGAGTTTTACTGTAGTGCAAAGTCAGACAGATGTGTAAAGAGCAGTGTTAGTTAAGTGGGTAGCTTGACCTTGAAGCAATCGTTCTTTGTTATGATTCCTTAACAAAAAAAAATCCAAACCATGTCCCATTTTATGCATGGCTAAAAAAATTGGCCCAGTGAATGCCCTAAAAATACCATGGTCTTCTGTTGCAGATTATGTATCGATCAGAAAGGCCAATGTCAAGAGGAACTCGAGTCTACGTTGGTGGATTGGTTGACACCAAGAAAGAAGAGTTAGAAGCCGAATTTGAAAAATATGGAAAGCTGAATAGTGTTTGGGTTGCATTTAATCCTCCTGGATTTGCCTTTGTTGAATTTTCAAACCGAGATGATGCTGAAGCCGCTTGTGACAATTTAAACGATTCTGACATTTTTGGATCAAAGATAAGAGTGGAAATATCTCGTGGAAGAGGAAGAGGTGGATTTAGAGGAGGAAGGGGTATGGACAGAGGTGGTAGAGGAGATGGAGGTGGAGGTAGAGGAAGAGGAGGATTTAGAGGCAGGGGTGGGGGTGGTTACGGGGGAGGATTTGATAGAGATGAAGAACCAGTTAGGAAAAGTTTCAGAGGTTCACGAGGTGGCAGCAGATTTGATGATTTTGGAGGTGGTGGAGGAAGGAGGTCTGATTACGCTGATGATTATGATGGAGGGCGAGAAGTTAGTGTAGGAAGAGGAGGATTTGGTGGGAGAGGGAGAAGCTTTGATTCTCCGAGAGAATTCAGGGGCAGGGGCCGTGGGGGAAGTAGGGGATACAGCAGGGGAGGCGGCGGGGACTACGGTGGAAGGGTCTCCAACGGGGACTACAGTTCTGGTGACTATGGTGGTCCCAGAAACACATCGAGGTTCAGAAGTCGATCACCTGTCAACCGTGGAAGGTATTCAGATTTCTAAACCCTATGTTAAACTTATGATTGAGGTTAATTTTTTACTGGACGGCAAATAGCACTATTTTGCGTCAATACTTTTGTATCACTCATACTCAAATAAGAGTATTCAAAGTGATTACATGTTCACATTGGTTTTTGCTGCAGAACTGTATCTGCTTTTATTACTCGTAACATTTAAATTTACAAAATTCTGCTCTTGAATATGACTTGACTTATGACATCCAGATTTGCCAAATGAGTCGGAACAGGGGAAAACTGCGAGTGGAATTGATCAGCTAATGGTTTTTTATTTTATGAGTCACTATGTTTGTACGAGAGGGCAAAATTATCAACTACGTACAAGTTGTCTTAACTTGAAAACAACATCTGTATTTAAAAAATGTAAAGCAAACCTTGTCGGAAGAAACATTCAGGCGTGCAACAAAATGTCACTTACAACCGACCCTTGCAACGCCCAAAAGGAATAAATATAGTGTTTAACCCTATACAGATCATTTGGCAAATAAATTAAATCATATTCAACATCTTATTTACTTGATAATCAATGATCAAAAGTTAGTCAGGGTACCCACTCGACCATGAAAATTGTAAAACCGTCAATGAGCTGTGAATTTTGTCAACCAGGAAAAACCTGTTCTAAGCCCAGCCCTGAATTTCACAGTCGGAATTTACACGATCGGGATGATGTCAATGTTTGATTACACATACCTTTAAAATATGGCATTCACAGTCACATTAATGTCCCCTAAGCCCCGCCTAAAAAATATGTCGAAATAATTAAAACCCAAAAAAAAAATAAAGATAATATGTTCTTTTCGGTACTCAAGCTTTACTTTAGTTAACTTTGGACCGTTGAGATATTTTTTTATGAATAAAATCCTTCATTTCAAAACTATTCTGTGAATCATTTAATAGGTTTTCCAGTTAATTTAAATTGTTCTGTTTCTATTAATTGTGTTTAATTATGAATTTAATATTAACCGTGTATTATTATTAACATTAAAAATGTAGTACATTACAACATTTTGGACGGCCCCTCCATTTTCATTACCTTTTGTGTTCGCAAAACATTCGTGGACGACTCAGGAGTAGTAGAGGCACCATATCGATATCGTGCGTATGTGGTGATATCGTAATCTTTTTCTGCAATCAAATTGACATCAGAAAAAAATGTTTGCATTTGCAGACAACGCCATTGTGCGAATAAAAATATCAAAAAATGGCCCAGAAAAGCGTGAATTTCAAGTTTGAGTTGGGACCCTGCCTATTTGTTAAATTAGGCCTAATTAAAAAGTCTAATTAGGATCTTTTTTTATGGATAGTGAATGGATTTGATTACAAGTAAAGCATTTTGTCTAGTGACTCTTTTCGGAATCGCCCTGAAAACATATATTTTCTAAACCAATGCCTTGCATAGGCCTACATGAAAAATTGAGTGAAAAGTACAATTTTGCAATGGTAGATTGCAATAAAAGAGGTTTGTCATAAAGAGATGTTTTTACATATTTACTACAAACTTACAAACTTGCTTTTAGTGTTGTCTCGAAGCAATCCTCAACTTGATGGTTTTTGTATACGTAGAACAAGAATAAGTTGTTGCGATGAGACTGATATTGGGTTAATTTGCAACGACAACTGTCACCAATTGAAAATTTCTCTCAAACGTATAACAACCAGTAAACGTTTGCCAAATTATCAACCAATAACTGCTCAAAACTTGTACGGCTCTTGGACTTAGAAAGTTGCAAACTGAATAATTGAAGAACATTTTCTTGAGCTACGCTGCGTGGTCAGATTAAATGTCTCATAGTTGCTTACAGTTGGTTTCTGGAAAGAAAACAGGACTCTGCCACATAAGTATACTACGCTTCTCATGTTCGATTGTCTAAAGTAAATGTTTCATCTGCCCGCTCAAGAACATGTCTTTACAAATGAGCAACTATCACAATACCAATTTCACCTATTTCAGCTTGTCTTTTATTGCTTGTTTGAATAAAAGAGAGGCTACAATGTTTTTGTTTTATAATCAAACCAAAATTGTCTTGCAACCTTTTTAGTGATTGATTCATACACAACGCTTTTCAACAATCATTCAGTACAACAGTATAGTAAAGGATTACAAAATCAAAGATTGATTGTCTCCAATATATCATGTACCTTTGATTTCATAAACAGACATCATAAAGCAGTTAGTTGAATATACGTAATGAAGTGGATTACACATCTTGCTATTTCTTCGATCTGTTATCAATTCAACAACATGTCTGTGGAATGTTTTCAGCCGTCAAGCCTACTGATGTGAAAAGGGTTTCAAATGAAAAGAGGCGAAACGATCCACCCGACCTACGAAATATTGAGAACTACGTTGAGAAACCTGCACTCCTCAGTAGGCTTAGGAATATCATTTTATCATTTGTCATTTCTGGATATTAGTGCAATAGATTTCAGTGTTTGTGTGTTGTTCCTCATCTAGGAATAAACAAGTCTAGTCTATAATTACAAGTCTATAAGTTTTCAATATCCTTTAAATGTAGTAGAGAAATTACCGTTTTATGTTATAATGCTCTTCGTTAACAAAATATCTTAGTGAGTCTTCGTTCAAATAAACAAATACTCAATTGTGTAATGAATATTTTTATTACTTCGTTGAAAATGAGGTAAAGAAAATGTCTCCAGTTTGAAAGTTCAAAGGCAGTTGTAGATAAAGCAACCCAAATCACAATACTATTCAACTTTCCATCGGTAAGTATTAGGGCCTAATCAAGCAAACCAATCAAGTTAAACAGGGTATATGATAAGTGTCAGCCTCAAGGCATAGATTACACAATTTCTGACAACACTTTTTGTCACTGATCATTTTAAGAGTATAACAACAGTATAACAATTCTTAACATCCAAGTCATTTTCAGCATTAATGTATTTAATTTTATTATTGATGGTTATTCAACTGCCATAAAATATTAACAAATGTCTAGACATTTTTGTTATCTTTTTAGAGTATTATTTTATTTCTTTGTATATAACTGAAACTTGGAAGTCTTGAAATAAAAGTCTTTTTTAAGTAAACGTTGAAATAATTTATTTACCTTTCAATCTGCTATTGCCAAAAAATCTAGCCTGTACCCAAACAGTACGGACCATAGGAATAAAAGATGTGTTTCTAGATTGAATTAAATTTCGGTTGAATAGTGGTTGTTCTTACCTTTACTTGTTTAATGAAAATAGTGAATGTGGAAATTAACATTATGGTATTTAATTTGTGTTTAGAAAATTTCCCCTAAAAGTAATAACCTATTTTTGTGTCTGTCTATATCCACAAGGGACCAATCCAAACCATGGTATTTTTTCATCCTTTTGTTAGACCAATAGTATCTGGGTATGGAAATAAACCGGAAACCTTCAGATTTGAAGGTTAGCACTCTATCCACTTGACTACGATTTTAATAGTTTTAAATTTTAGGTTCAGGGATTTTTCATTGACTTAATTTTCCCTTGTATAATGTTTTAACCTTTTTCTCTTGAATACAAAAACTCAAAATGGATTACACAAAATATTTTTGGCGGACTCAGCAAGGATATGAAGTTTAAAAGTAGCAAAGTGTCTGGACTGAGGTTCAGCTCAAAGGAATACAATCAATCAAAAAATAACAAAGTTCAATGTCCACCCTATTAGCGAATTTCCTGTGTAGGGAATAAGCTATTTTTATGTTGGCCTCTCCCACATACGTGTGATCTCCTTGCACACCAGACCTGGCCAAGACAAAATTCCTTAATCTGCTGTGCTGACTGATATTTTGCTCGGCCAAGTCCACACACTAACATAGGCCAACAAAAATCCTGGACCTAGATTAACCAAGATTAGTTATAATCTTGCCTTCCATCCTGCAGCACCTTATCAGGCACAGCTTTTCTTAGCCCATTTGGTTAACTTTTGACTATTGATGACACTAGACATTCGATCTCCATTTTAATTTTGTCACCAGTTTTAATTAAAAATGGACGTAGTTTATGTTATCCACCAACAGATTGGGCTGATGTAAATTACTGATTTTTGACAAATCTGCGGACTTTATATACTGATAGGACGACTTGTAAGCTATAGCATCTGTTACGCCCGCCCCCCATGGCAGTAACCAAGAATTGGGATGAAAATAGGGCACTAGCGCAACCTGTGGTTGGCTTAAAGAAGTTCGTTTTAGTAACAGATTGGCGTCTACTTCAGTATCCATGAGTCAGTGGTTGTACTCTGTCATTAGACCGCCTTCACACTAGGTCACTGTGACCAGGAAGTGACCCATGTTGTTTCATCCACGGTCACTGAGTCCGTCACTAAAAAATTACTGGCAATTCTGTTCGGGTTTTGCATTACACAAGTACTGTTGGGCCGCCAGTCAAATATAGCACCTGCTAGTGATTAGGAGTTATTGTTGTTCGTGTTACTAATTTAAAAATAAAGACGATCAAGAACGAGGGAGATATGGGTCCACCCTATGTTAAGTTCTCATATGGAAAAGGGTTTGTACGATACATTGTTTGATGACCTTTGTGCTAATGAAAGGTAGTTCTTCAACCATGGCGTTACCTTCATTCAAGGAATTACTGACCTACATAAGGAATGACATTACGTATTCCACCCGAGGAGAAGCTGGTTATAACTTAAAGGTGAGTTTGATGTTACTTAATAATTCTCAATCTAACAACAAACAATCAACAAACTGCTTCTACAAAAACTTCACTTGTTCAGAACAATGTGCGCGCGCTGCGCAGACAGTATTCCTAGTCGGAGTGTCCCAATGTGAACTGTTCCATTTGAAGTAATGTGGCGAGCCTGACGAGTCACACAACAAGTGACCCCAGTCGGTGACCGAGCTGGGGCACTCTTTGAGTCACTGTTTCCTTGCCAAGCAACAGTGACCTATAGTGCGAAGGGCTACATTTTCTATGCTTTAAAATTTGTCTGGTCACAGTGACCTAGTGTGAAGGCAACCTTAGTTGTAGATGAAGGTATGTTTGAATGGAATTATTCTAAATAACTGCTCACACGCCTTTGTTCCGGGTTAGTACAGGTTATCTGCATACAAGCCTAGTTACAGAGATAAACAATACCAATACCTACATCAGGTTTTAGGGTTTCTACCGGTCACGGGATGTCACCAATAGTTTACTGACTAAGGTCACTGAATAATTAATACCTTTGATGGGCAATATCCATATAGGTACTAACTGGGACGGGTGGCGTCGTCCTGTAATCCAGCTACTAGGAGGTCACGAATTGTGGATATTTATAGGGATGCACTGTCTGTAGGTCCGATGCTCCCTGGTGTGGATCCGCAGTACTATCCCAATAACTAGACCAATTCGTAAATTACAAGGAAAAAATGTGGTTCGGATTCCACTATAAACTGAGGTCCCTTAGTTGCCATTAGCTGTATGGGCTATTAATTAACAGCTGTGCCTAAGGAACATGTCGGCCTTAGTCACTAACAAGACTACAAGATCGCGCCACTCATCCTACACTCATCCTTCACTCATATTTGGGTTAAAAAATGCACATAGTGGCGTCCCCATCTTAAATAATTGGTAATTGAATTGATTCTCTCTTTTTATGTTTTTTAGTTAGTATTATTCAACACAATATCTTTATGTTGACACAATATATTATGTACAACACACAAGGATTGCCGGTTTGAATTAGTTGTTAGGTTTAAATGATTTATATTCCAGGGGGTTTATATAATTAGGTACTCATGGGTAAACTGGCTGGGTAGCTGAGTGGTTATAGTGCTCGCCTACTAATCAAAAGGTCGCCGGTTCGATCCTGAGAAAAGTCAGTAGCTTTTTGATGGTTCGAAACTGGACCCAGCTGTTCCTGATCATTGGGCTTTAAATAAATGATCCTGGCTAATGAAACAGCTGATCTTAGTCAGTAACAAAGCAACACAGATCATCTCACACCATTCTACACTCATCCTTCACTCATATTTGGGTTAAAATACGCACCTAAGTGGCGTCCCCATCTTAATGATTGATAATTGAATTGATAAATTTTATTAACAGGCAAGCATGTTTCTTGAAAACCTTTTTTTTTCCCAGCTCGTGTGTATCGCGGGGAAAATCTACGCATACTGTTAGAAAGATATTTTCCTGTAGATGTGCAGAATCCCTTTAAAAATTAAAATACTGTAGGCTAAAAAATAAGCACACAAATTAATTTTAAATAAAAAAAAAATTAACATGGGCCTTACGAGTTGCCATGCTGGTGACGAAATAACCAAATATAAACAGAAAATCAAACAAATTTCCAATCACATTTATATTTTTATTTACAGCGGGGTGAAAATAGAGAAGTCTATACATTAGATATTTTTGGTCGAGTTTTCGACCACTAGTTTGTAAAAAATCAAATACTGTACTGTATGCAGTCCGGAGGTCACCAATTTTGAAAATTAGGTCACCAAAATCCCAATTTTACTTTTAGTGTACTGGTAGACACCCTCATATTAAGCTAAACATTTAGTGATCACTACTTTGGTGAGTGGCCTAATGGTAGTGCTTCAACCATGTCAAAAAGAGGGGCAGTTTTTCAATACAAGCTTGACAACATGTCAGTGTTATTTTTTTTTTTTTTACTGACACATACACAAACAAATTCATCACATAAAGCTTAATAAAATTACTTAAATTATTATAATCAATCAGTTTTATCAAAATTTATGATTTTATATTTTTTTAAGCATCTGTTGTCATTGTTTTAATTAAACCATTATTTATTCCATTGTTTTCAACTGCATTCAAATTTACATTGAATGGTTGGTTCACTTTGTCATGGTGGAAGATGGTTGACATGGGGAAACAGTTTGCACTGGAAGCCCAAGAAATTCAAGAAAACTATTGGTACATCAATGGTTCAACAAATACATATCTGTCTATAGACACAAAACTCCAAATTGTAAGCTAGGAAATAATTAGAAACTAAACAAAAAAGTTGCTTGTTCACAACAGCGAAATTGAAAACAAGATGGTTGTATGTTGGGAGCTTATCTTCAAATGGAAAGTATTTTAGTTTTGTCTCTTGGTTTGTTTAAAAAATGGTGCAATTTGACAAAAAATATAGTTCATCACACTGACAAAAATATAGTTCATCACACTGACAAAAATATAGTTCATCACACTGACAAAAATATAGTTCATCACATGGGCAAAAGTATATTTTTTTAACCCTCATTCATTTTCGGACTGAGGCTTAAACTTGGAGCTTGTGTCAAAAGAATCACTTAATGCCCTTGTGATGGTACTATTTTTTATGAAGGTATTCTCGTTACTGAGTATTCCATTTCCACTTTATTTAGACACATTGTTTAGATATACCTTCAGATATGGAAAATGATCCAAACCTAATAAATTCATTGGTTACTGTGAATAGAATCATAAACCAACCAACATAAGAAGATATCTCATCCTACTGTAAATTTTGATGCTCGTTTTTTGTATCTAGTTCACGTTGGTAACACTGATCGCTAGTGTCAACAAAATGTTGTATCTATTATTTTAGGGTTGCTTTACTGTTTGGTTCTATAACTAGGGGATGAGATATTGTTTATTATTAGATAGTTTTATTCTATTATTAGGTATTTTATTATATAATATAGGTATATATATACACACACACATAGGACGACAAAAGAGTCAGGAAGCGGATTAATATCTTTTTAACTAAATCCTTTAAAAAATTGTAACCTTTCACACCAACTTTATGTACGAAAACTACTTTTTGCAAGCATTAACATTTTTTAACCTTTACCAGGGGACGACCCATGATGAGTAGGTACATAATCTTTCATGTAAGCATAAGCATATCATTTTAAAGGGCTGGTCAAGTGGAGTTTGTTGCCGGAAACCGCGTCTCAAAAGGTTCATTCGTTACAAAATGGCAGCTGTCCAAAGTTCTTGCGGAAATACCTGGGCAGGCTTTTTTAACTACCTGCACAGTCCTTAGTATTGGTAAATACTTGTAGTCAACGTTAGCTAGAGAGCTGAAACCCGGTTAATTAGTTTTGAATATTGAGTAATATTAGTCTATGAGCTAGTTGAATTTCAATCTCCGATGGGGGGACGGACTATTAGGAGTCAGTTTCAGCTCTCTTGCTATGTTGACTACGAGTATTAACCAATATTAAGGGCTGCGCAGGCATTTTCCACAAGATATTTGGACAGCTGCCATTTTGTAGCGGATGAACATTTTGGGACACGGTTTCCGGCAATGAACTTATTGTCCGTTGCTTCTTTTTGAATTTGGTTTTCGCCTTATTTGTTAAACCTGAGCTTGTGTTGATAAGAATCACTTTATCCCTGGTAATGAAATACACTATTACAATATTATGAAACACTTTTTACTCAGGGAAACTCAAACCCATTGCAATTATTTTATTTCGATGGGTTATTAATCGTCACATTCTGCGACTGTTGATGGTTTTCTGTTTGGTAACTATAACCAGTTGCATATACAATTATCATAAACAAACTACTCAAAAAGTGAATCCACACATGCTGTTTACAGGAGCAATCAAAGTTGTGGGTACAAAACTAACAATCCTTTAATAAATAATGCTGGAATGTATACATAAAACTAAGTACAGTGATGATATAATAACAAATGCATATAAAACACTAATAATCGATATAAGCGTAAAATACTATAAAGAGAGACTAATATCATGTATAAAAACGTCACCCTTGATATAAATTGTATTTACTATGCTTGAAGGCACTCGATGGCTGAAGGTACTGAGTGTTCTCTCGCCAATCTTGATGACAAAGACATCACTCTGGCATTCGATCACCACTTTGAATGGACATCTGCAATTCATTCAGTTATTAGCAAGAAGATTTGTTTGGTTAGAGTATTTGTTTTATTTAAAAAATATTTGGACCTGTTGGAGAGCAAGAAGTAGGCACCACAACCAAATCAGATTTAAATGTTCCATTATCCAGACATTGTAGAAGAAGCAAAGAACAGAAAACTGGAGGGGCTGGCCATTTAGGAGGGAAGATGGGATACTAATTAAAGAAGTTTGGAGGCCAAACCCAGGGGGAAGAAGACCTAAAGGAGAAAGATTTACAAAAGTTGAGAGCAAGGCAAGAAGATTCGGAAGACAGGGGGGGGGGGATGGAGGCAACTTGTTGGCAAGGCCAAATCCCACCTAGAGTATCCATGGCCATGGGAGTAAGAGTAATATTATGAAAATTACAATATTATTTTTGTAAGACAATGCTCCAAACTTAGGTCAAGCCCCTATAACGTTGACCATTTGTTAGGTAGCATCATTCAAAGACCTCACTAAATAAAAATTATGTTAAAAGCAGCAAAACTCCTACTTCAAATACTAAATCAACTCTTAAAAAATGTAACTCACAATCAGTTCAAACTGATGTATCACATCAAGTTATTGCCGACAAAAACAATTTGATCAGTCTGTCATTACTGAAAAATGAGTGGGTTACTGACGACACAATCTTGCTCTACTATAATAGACTCACCCTTTCGGTTTTGCACACTACAGAGAAAATATTGCTAATGAACGCAGTAGTTACTCAAGCAATTAAATGCCTTCAAGATGTAGATGACCTCCTGTCTCCTCTGGACTTAAATGATAAGACATATATCCTTTTCCCCATCAATGATGTTCAGTTTGAAACTAATACAAATGATGCTCAAAATCAGTACAGAAAAAGTGGTTCACACTGGAGCTTATTGTTGTTTACTAAAACCCTGAAGAAGTTCTTCTATTTTGACTCTTGTGGAACTTATAATTTAGTCCATGCACAACAAGTTGCTAAGAAAGTGAGTATTTTTTTAAAAATTAGTACTGAACTTCCCTTCCAAGTTGTGAATGTTCCTCAACAATCAAACACTGCTGATTGTGGTGTTTATCTGACAATCTTCACTGACGTAATAGTTCAGATGATAAAACATAATACATTGGAAGGATTGGGAGTTGAGGGCAGTACAATTCCTTGTACAATAAAACAATCTCACATTGTTACAAAGAGAGCTCAGTTGGCCTCTCTGTGGCACACTTTTCAACATTTATCATGTGATGTTATCTTTGATATGATGTTTCAACTACCTGAGTATGGAAACAATAAGAATCATTCACACATACTGCACCAAGATAAATACTGTCAAACACAAGAAATATGGCAAATCCCCAGAAAAGTGACTAGTAAAAAGAATTGTAGTTATAGTAGGCCTATATCCTTAAACAACAGCTACAACTTACTTTCTCAGGAACAACTGCACCAGGCCCAAGAAGTGAATAATACATTTACTGGAAAGGTTGGGGAGTCTACTAGAGTGATGAATGGTCTGAGCTTTAAAAATACTTTGTATGGAGACCCAGTCCGAGTGGAACTCTTTGCAGATAGCCAAGGAAAAGGACTTCCACAGATTGTTGGCCTGTGCAGTGGTAACCAAGTCTTGGTTAACGGAATGGTTAAGTCTGGTGCTGACATAACACAAGTATACAGCCAAGCAGAAAAATGTCCTCTAAAACCTCTCATACTGATAGCTGGGACCAATGATATTTGAACTATAAGGGTAAAAAAAAAACTGGCTTTTATGATCATTGAATTTATAAATAATACTGCTAGTAAAAATTCCTGTTTTGATTCAAATGGAAAAAAGTCTAATAAGGGACCTCATCCAAATAAGCAGATGCTTAAAAATAAAGATAGGTCATTCAAAACTAGCAACTTCAAGTCCAATCCTGTAAATAATCTTAAGAATTCTATTAAGCCGAATGTTATAAATGTTGTTGAAACCAACATGTGGAATGCCATTGATGTATATAGAAATGATCCATCTGCAGCATTTGCTCACACCATTTCAAGCGACTTAGATCACAACAAAAATATGTCTGCTGGTGTAGCAGTTGTGTTTCGGAAGAAATTTGGTAGGCCTCAATCACAAAACTATGTAAACTCTAAACTTATGTGCCAGAAATTTGGCCAGAAATTTTTTACCCTTTTTATAGTCTGGATGATTATTTTAAACTGGGAGAAATTGTCCTTTAGTTTGGTTTTAATTTCAGTTAAGAATGTGAATGGAGTTTAATGTTAATTGTAATATTTGGCCTGTAAGAGTATTTTGTTGTTTATTTTAAGACTTGGTTTGGAAACTGCAAATAGACTTTGTCAATGATATGTAAATGTATCCTTATGGCAAATAAAGATTGATTGATTGATATAACTTACTCCTTTTTATACCCCTTATGGATCAGCGGAAGGTTATTTAAAGGTGTTAAACCATTTGCTTATGTAGAGGATAATTTATAATTACTATTTTTTTATTGAAATTTAGCCTACTTTTAAACTAAGATTTTATTTTGGGAACAGCTGCAGGCCTTCCCTGAATAGGAAAGTGTCCGATCTGGCACAAGTTACACAAAACTACACCATACACAAAAGATTAGAACGCTTTTTGTGTTTCTTGAGCAAGATTTGACTAGGCACATCCTTGTTAAGATATACTTGACAATTAGACGTTAACTATGTGATAATCTTACCCAGGGGTGAGTAAGAACTTTTCTGGTGGCAGTTTTTCTGCCTTGTCATCCCAGCTGTCGTTGTGCCAAGAGTTCAACATAACGACCTGGTTAACTTCCCGCTGGTTGAACCTGACGCTCACTTGTAGAGGAACTTCTGGGTGAGGCCATGTTTTTGTGCCTTCCTGGAGATTGATGTGGAGCCTGAAACATCCACAGCAAAACTTCAAACATCACTGCAGCAAATTCAAAGATATCACCTTTTCTACCAAAATAATGGTCCTGCTTTGTATATCTGTGCATATTCACTTAAAATGTTTTTACTTATGGATAGAGTTAAGCTGTTTACCCGAGAAAATGAGAATCCAGGAGCTAATAGATACACAGTAAGAAATTGCAAAATATCAATAGGAGTTCTCTAGAGGCTAGGTTGGAGAAGAAAAAAACAGAACACATAATGCATAGTAGAAAAAAATACTTACGAATGAGGCAGTAGTTCCAATCTTCCATTTATTTCAATTCTACATTTATCTTTTAGTTTGCTACTAAGAACTCCATATATTGGGGTTTTCTAAAACAAACAAAATTTTTATAAAGTTCTCTTTCATTTGATTACACTATTCAGTATTTAAAATCTGGAGGGTTGAAGATCTCTATCAAATTGTACAAACTAAATAGGCTACATTTACTTTCTAATATTTTCAAATCAATAACAATTGCACCCCTTTTCTTGAACCAGACCTTAAAAATGTTGAAGACAAACCATTTTATTCTGCCTGAAATGGTTGAGTAGATAAAATTAATTTAACAATCCCCCATTCAATTCTGATTGGTAGGACTTCATTCGAGATCAAGTAGGACTCGAGATGGTCTTTTATATGGGAATGTTGCTGAAAGTCAACAGTCCCGGAAGATCAAATAATTTATACCTGTGCCGCTAGGTCAAAAACTACAATGTTTGCAGTGTCTGTAGATCAAAAATCCCAGTAAGTCAAATAGTACAGTCCGAGCTAAAAACGTGGTCTATGTTAAAGCAATTGACTTATTGGGAATTTGACCTAATGCAACAGCAGTTTTAATATAACGAAATACGGTAAAATACAAGTTCAGTTTCGCTGAGTCAACAGTGCCGGAAGATCAAAAGCAATAAAAGTGAACGTCGATTCAGTGTAAAGTAGACCTCCAGCAACGCTTACTACACCAACAAAACTCGCTTTTAGTTACTTCGTGTTTTGTCATAATTAGAATAAAGCTAAAATTATCATATTTGGTACATAGCTTATCTATTAATGCTTCTTGCCAACTGTTTGGTCAACACTGTAAATAGGTATAGTTTATGTAATGAAAAGCCTTTCGTCAAAATTTGTGGCATAAAATACACGCAAGGACGATCTGAAAATTTCTGGTTATTATATACGTTTGTAAAAGGAGATCCATTTAATTGTAGAACTATTTTATGAGTTATAATGTAGTCTACACATAAACTGTGTAAATGTATTACGCCTCGGAAGGGTTGAAACCTGTCCAAACTATCATATATATTATTAAAACGTAAATGAGGTTTTTCACATTCTGAATCAACCAGTCGACGGATTTTCATTATTTTTATGTTGAAAGAAAGATAATTTTGAGAACTAGGGAATGTCAAAGCCATAATTATAATTAAGGGTCCCAGTTTTTTAGAAATTAAGTTTCAATTTTTAAAAAGTCTAGCAGCCGACGCTTACCTTCTAAGCTAGCTTTTAGTACAATATAATTTGCTTAACATAACAGCTGTAAACATTCAGCATTTGGAAACAAATTTAAAGACATATTTAGAGTTGACATAGTTATACTATGTGTAATGCTGACCATTGATCCATTCAATTCTTAGGTATGAGGATGGCAGATTAATTAAATATGCATAGTAAAATTGTAGGATGTTCAAATTATTTTTAAAGGAATCTTTATAATCATTGATTTGTTTTAGTCCCATATAATTTGTTTTAACTAACAGCTGGTTGAATGTAATATTGTTCTATATAACTATTACGTTTTTGGCGAATATCCCATATAGGGAATAAGCTATTACCGTAGTACTTATGGTAACACCTGGACCCGCGGGACCGATTTAATTTTTCGTTTTGAGGTCCCTAGAGGCCAAAAACACCATCCGTTCAAATTCATATATACAGGGTGATCAACTCAAGGAGTCCACCATTGGGAAATCGGAAACGGTAAGAATTAGAGAAAACTTTAAATGGGGCACATACCTTTAATTTTTGTGGCAGTTAAAATATGATTTTAGTTTTTTATCATGTTTTCGGATAGAATATGCAATTTAAAAACTTTGTTAGCTTTGACATTTTTTTGATGAACCCACTCGTTTAGGATTACAGCCTATGGAAAAATGACTTCCGGTTTACATTTTACATCATGTAGCTCCTAAACGAGTAAGTTTAGAGCAAAATTGCAAAAAGTAAATCAGTCTTAGAATTGCATCTACATTCCTTTAAGACTATAAAATAAAAAGTTTTCCACTTTTCAAGTTTGCCGCCATTTTTTTAAATAATATAATTCATATTTTTAATGAATTTTATGGTCTTTTAGGAATGTGGATGCAATTGTAAGACTTTTTTACTCTTCCCATTTTTGCTATAAACTTACTTGTTTAGGAGCTACATGATGTAAAATGTACACCGGAAGTCATATTTCCATAGGCTATAACTCCTAAACGAGTCGGTTTATCGAAAAAATGTCAATTATAAAAAAGTTTTTAAATTGCATATTCTACCCGAAAACATGATAAAATATAGGGTGTTCCATAAGAAATTTCAAATTTGGCCGCCATTTTGGAAAATGGCGGCTGAATTTCAAAAAAACTAAAATCATATTTTTAACTGCCCCAAGAAATAAAGGAATGTCCCCCATTTAAAGTTTTCTCTAATTCTTACCGTATCCGATATCCCAATTACAATTGAAATTGTAATTGGACACTAGTAAGTACCAGTGCACTTGTTGCTACCTCCCCCCTTCGGTTTCATGTATTCCTCTCAATCACTTCAAACCTAGGAGGATTAAACATTAATGTTAGTTAATGTTAAATCCTCCTAGGTTCAAACCTTAAACACCCAGATCGAAACTCGCCTGTCGTTATTTTAACATCGCTTAATTTTTTTTACTATATTTTTCAAAAAAGGAAGATTAAATTGATTTACTTTGGATTTTAAAAAGTGGACGTTTTATTTTATTAAAGATTTATGGTGATACGTAAATATTGTGGTATAGTAAAGTATGTAGTTAAGTGTTAAATTTCGAAATTTTAGGATGAATCGAGATGAATCTTTTTTTATAACATGGGTCTCTCCTACCTTAACATACATACCAAGTTTCATAAACATCGGTTGGAAAAGTGTAAAGATAAATATTTGTATGTAAAAAATACAAAATGGCGGATATCTGGTTAACGAAACGATTTTGGAAAAAATGTTATCGTTCATTTTCTGTTTATTTTGACCCAAGGAATTACTAGGTAAAGTGTCTCTCCGCTTATTTTTAATACCTTGTTTGTGATGTATTCTTATTAATATAAGTGAAAAATGTAAGCTGGTAATACAGAAAGATGTTTTATAAATAATATGAATGTACTGGTAATCTGTATATTCATCTTTTTCTTGTCCTTAGAACTGTAAATTAAAAGTCCACTCAGCAGTCGCATCGTACGATGTAGTTCTTTCCATGCGTTGCGAAATGCTAAATTTGCCATCCTCTTCAACCCAAGTTATCTATTGAACCACTGATTGTAAAAAATTCAAAAAAATATATTTTACGCATCACACTTTTGGCTACAACTTTGGCACAGACAAAACCTCTCTAACCCAAAAACAAACAAAAATCTCGCATGCTAACTTTTTCATGTTAGAAATCACGATTTAAAACTATTTCACCATACATATCAATTTTTATTAATTATATCGGTAAATAGTTTAAAGTTCCAACAAAATAGTCATTGAGTAGGACTAACCAAGAAGCTCTGTGCCAATTTTCAAAATCTTAGTACAACTTTAAGTACACCAAAACACGAAATTATTGAAGTCATGCGTCGAGAGGACTATCGTTGTTTTTAACAGACTATACTTTTGACCTTCCGGCACTGTTGACTCAGCGAAACTGAACTTATATTTTATCTTATTTCGTTTTATTAAAACTGCTGTTGCATTAGGTCAAATTCCCAATAAGTCAATTGCTTTAACATAGACTACGTTTTTAGCCCGGACTGTACTATTTGACTTACTGGGATTTTTGATCTACAGACACTGCAAACATTGTAGTTTTTGACCTAGTGGCACAGGTATAAATTATTTGACCTTCCGGGACTGTTGACTTTCTGCAACGCGTCCTTTTATATAACGTTTGCAAGATGAAGGAGTCTAAATAATATGATATGTGCTTACACTCTTATATGTCTTGCTAGTGACAAGTGGAGTTTCAAGCTTGTAGCAAGTTTGATTTGTCTGGTATATTAATTCAAAAATGCTAACTTATTTTTATAGCAACTTTTTAACCAAGTTTAACTAAAAAAAAAAAACATAAAATATTGTATTGTTTTGGGTACGGTGTATTATACATAGGCCTACACTATCATATGACGATGGTTAAATCTATTATAAACCTTTATCAATAACTTTGAAACCTTTTTTGGTCTTTTATTTAATTTGTATTGCACATAGTTTAAACACTTCAACAGGACTAACAATGTAGGTGGATTACCTGTGTTTCAAGCTTTGTGACACCAGGAACACTAAGAGGCACAACATGCACACTAGGGGTGACAGTTTTAGGCAGTGCTGCAGGATACGAGGCACTATCAGTCACTTGAACCCTCGTCAGGTTAACACCCCCACAGATCTGTAGGCTGGAAATGTCCGTCAGAAATGTGCGATACTGGTACGAACAGTAGTGGATTCCTTCTACAGCCACCTGTGAGCAAAGTTATGTTAAACTATAACAATAATCTTTCATATTAAATAACTTTGAGAACATTTTACACATTGTACCATTGGGAATATAATAAATCACATCTCCAAAGACTTGTGATCTAAAAATGGCGATTCAAGGTCATCATGTTAAAGTTAAAATCAATGAATCACTTTTGTTCAATCCGACTCATTAAATCTACATAATTTCAAGGCGCAACTCATGCCGTCAAATGACATAATTTCATTGATCCAATAGGCATATCAAAGGAAATTGACTCTATCGGGTAAGAAACCTAATTTTTTAAATGTTTTCCAGTAAATTATTCTGTGAAATGGGCAAAGGTGTGTGTATTATGTTGCCTCTTCGTACTCATTGCTGATTAAACTCTCAATGTTTGGATTTGAATTAAAGTGGACGTATTTTAAGATGCAAGAAATTTATATCTATAAAAGAGGAACTATGTATGTGTGTGTGTGTATATATATATGTATATACGTTATGGACTCCGAAACCGCTCGACAGATTGTAATGAAACTTTCAGGCATTAAGCATCTTTCAAGGATGGTTCGAGTGAAGTTTGGTGCAGATCTGTCAAAAGGGCTCTGCCCCAGAGGGTTTTAAGTGGGCCAATGTCAGACTTTTTGATCTACAATGTTTACAAATAAATATAATTTAAAAGCAGATGTTTACTTTCACCAACTGTTTTGTAGGATTGAATAATTACAACATTCTGTTTAGCATTAGTCATGATTTGAAATAGTGCCACAGTGTTTCTACAGAGTGCAGCACAGAAAACTATTTTACTTTTGAATAAGACCAAATGTATTAAACCCCAATCGCAGCACACCTGTGCACTAAACAACGTTTAAATTCTCCAATGTTAAATATTAAAACATAAAAACCTTTATCAAAGTATTATAAACAATAAAAGGGATGATTTTTTAAAATTTATGACAACAGCTAATTTGCAACCAAAAGGTGAGTGAGCGTAGCGAACGAACATCAACCTGGAGGCGAGTTAGCGTAGCGAACGAGCTCCAACCTAAAGGTGAGTGAGCGTAACGAACGAACTTCAACCGGGACGTGATTGAGCCATGCGAATACTTATGAAGTTAAACGGGGCAAAGCCCGTGGGTACAGCTAGTAGACAATAAAGCTAAAGTCAGTTCAACTATGAGGTTTAAGACGATAACGCTAAACTGATCTGAAAAATTAAAATCAATCAGCATACAAACTAACTTGAATGACATATTTCACTAAACACAATTATAAATTTCGATACCTACCAAGAATGCAGAGTGGGTAAGGAAGATCTCAATGAAAAAGGGTTTTCCCCGCTGAAAGGGGAACTTTATTTGACTATTGCATTCTTCTTTTCCCCACTTGCCATTTACCCGGGTGTTAAGAGCCGTGTACTCCTGGTCGAGTCGAGGATTGAAGTGGAAGGCAATATCTTCCTTTGTGTCATGAGCAACAACCAAATTGATAGAAAATCTGAAACAAACACAAAATATGAACAACAAAATTTATGTAGAGACAATATAATTTTTTTGGTTAACACATATGACTTCCTTCAGAAAACATACCTATTCACTGCAAATTGATTCATGATATTTTTTGGAATGGTTTCAATTGAAAAGGCTATTTTCTGACATAATATATTGTAAAAAGAATATATGGGCCCCTAACATTAAGCCCAGACCCCTTGTTAAGAAAAAAGTAGTACAAAGTCAAATGAGCTTTAGGAAAATCAAATGAATAAATCGTTTTTAGATTTAGATTCTAAAACAATCATAAAATGTAAGGAGTTCTATAGTAAATTTTAAAGTTAGTCGCCATATTGGAAAAATAGTGGCCATTTTTCAAAAAGTAGAATTCATATTTTTTTATGTCATAAGAAAATAGTTGAAGTTCTCCATTTATTACTTTCTGTAATCTAATATTTTATGAGATACCAATCATGGTGGCATAGTTAAGTTGTTCGCCCTTTATAAGGTTCCTATCAGACACATCCCATTTTTGATTGGTTGTAACTGATATCAACCTGTCCCAATTTAAACTTTTAAACAAGATAAACAATCTTATCTGGTGACTGATACTAATGAATACAAGTATTCATTGCTGATACAGAATGTTAAACCATTAAGGCTTGGTCTGGTGTAATGGTGTGTTTTACTAATTACAGCAATAGTCTGTACTAAGAGAGAAAAAAGGATTTTATGCAGCAAGCTTACTTAGTTAATCAAACTACTTTTATAAATATCAGGATTTATGTCCATGTCACAAACCACCTCATGTCACTAATCTTCTATATAAATAAAATTAGAGTTTTGTCTGTACATTGCTCAGAATTATATATTTTTTGGTAATTTTTACGTTTTATAAATAAAGAATCTGAAACAGGTCTTATCTCAATTTCTTTCTGTCTGTCGCGGCTCAGAAGGCATTTTACGCGGCCTTCCCCTGAAAAACGAGATTGCCTATAAAGATTCAAATCATTTTAATGTATTTACTGGATTGGCGAGAATGTCTTTAGCCATTAAAATATGGCCTCCTTACTTTGTAAATAAAATGACGGACGTTCAAAACCACATTCACATTTATGTCATCTATCAAATAATGAACAGCTATTTGGATCAAAATTATTTTTTCTAGCTGTCATTGACATGTTTACATTAAATGTTGTTTACAAATAACGCAACCATTTCTGATCACGTTTTGAAAGCAAATCCAAACCAAGTGAGATTAAAAACGTTTTTCCTTACATAACAGATTTAATTAGTGCAATAATGTGTTTAAACGTAAATGAAAGGCATCATCTAGGTCAGGAACAGGAAACTCTTCGTGTATCAAATTGTTCTTGAGTTTTGATATTTGGAAAAAAGACCTTGAATCAGTGTTGCATATAGCTGGGAAACTTACATTTTTTATCAGCGTCGCCAATAGCTTACAAAAAAGGTTTCTACTCATTGACGGAGCTTCAATGGCGGTTGTGTAAAGTGTAAAGTAAATAATCACAACTGCAGTGGGTGATTGTAACAGAGGTTTACGGATTATGCTCAACTCGCTTTTCCAATGTGTCTACTCACCGCTATGTGCTGCAATCGCTGGACCATACAGCCAATAGGCGAATTGCCCTTCTCTTGGCTTAACCAATTATTCATAACAAATTTTCGACGACGATCCTTGATACCGGTACTTTTCCCTAGAATACATGGCCTACCTACTTAGGAAATAAAATTGAAAACGTCCAAAAACCCAACCTGTCCTTATTTCTCAGTGTTTCACGGAAAAGACAAGAGCACCTTTATTAATGAAAATGTCAACCGGAATAAATTGTTCAATGGTGAGGTTAAGGTAGTATTTTAACTACTTTTAACCAGTGTAGAAAGTAACTTTCAATTATAGGCCTACCAGGGCTATGCCACATAGATCTATAAAGCATTATTTAGTTTAATCATTGGATATAACATGGACCAACACGATCCGAGTGACATTTAATTGCGAAGCATTTTTTTGGCTGGAAACTGTCAGATACTGTATTTGCGAAGGTTTATAAAATGACCTATAATTGTTTCGCCAGCATATCTGGAAATATGCAAACCAACTGCTGTTCTGAATATACGAAGGTTTCAACTGACTACAAGATCCCCGTGCGTAGAACGGGCACACAGCTAGTATGTTATAAATAGAAAATTCAATAATGCTTAGGGTAAACCAAACAACCTCCTGATTTGGAGGAGGGGAGAGTGAAATCAGTCTCTCTTCATTGAGAGCTTATTATAAAACTAAAAGTATATAGGCTAGGCATTAATTTTGATTTTATTCCTCCAAAAATTCTCAATTTATTTTTACTGATGCAATTTAATGTATAAATTTGTTACTAATATTTAAGGTTACATAACAATGTATAATTTGTTATTAACTCAATTGGCTATGTTAATTTTTTTATCTGAGACAATTTACCCCAGGAGCTGTTTTCTGGACAAAAGTACATTTGTAGGAAAACTGGTGACCAACCCTAATCTGGGAATTACGACCCTATTGATGTTACAACATAAATAGTAATGCATAAACAGAACTTTGGGCCTACTGGCCTATAACATATTCTTTGAACATTTACATGCATTTGGAATCATCAGGAAAGCAACACATTCTGCGAAACTGACGACAGCTCTATAAATAAAAATAAATCATCTATGTTTACAATGCAACAAATATAATTCAAACTAAAACATGCAATGTCTAACTACATGCAAGTCAAATAAATATCACAACTCAAGAGTTGAAAACTTATAAATTGAGAAAGATATTGAAGGAGATAGTTGTTTCTTACCACACCTGATGGCATTATCCCTCAGAGTTCCTTGTACAAAGATGTCCGCCTGTGGTCGAAGTGTGGTCTGAAGTATATGATTGAACGGCGCAGACTGGAATATAAATATACATGAATTAATAAATCTTTTAACTTCTTGATACCTAGTATTTGCACCTATTAAATCAGCTGATCTTAATGATGTAGTACAGGGAAATTAATTCAAGAACACTTCAAGACAAGTGCTGGACATCCCATCTATATGGACCGGCCAGCTGTCGCTAATTTTTTATTAAACATAATTTAGCTGTATGATCCATTAAAGAATGCGCTGGAGTATAAAATACTGTTTTCCTTCTTATTTATTGTTAGTTTATGGGACATAACAGTTCCTATAGCTCACAATATGTTAGGGCAGGGTAGCGGAGTGCTTTAAAGTGTTCGCCTAACAATCAAAAGGTAGCTGGTTCTATCCGGAGAAAAGTCAGTAGCTTTTTGCTGGTTCGAAACAGGACCCAGCTGTTCCTGATCATTTGGCTTAAAATAAATGATCGTGGCTAATGAAACAGCTGATCTTAGTAAGTAACAAAGCTACACAGTTCTCACACCATTCTACACTCATCCTTCACTCATATCTGGGTTTAAATACACTCATCAATGATTGAATTTCTTATACGCCACAAATAACTTGTAAACAATTTGTTAAACTCGATTATAACAGAACTTCTACTGCTTTTCACCAATTTACTGACTGCATGCTTGATTTTTAGGTAGGGAATTATAGTTTCATCACTAGGGCATAAATAATTGACTCTTTTCGACCCGAGCTTAAGTTTAACGATCGCGGCAAAGCTGAGTGATACAGACGTTTCTTGTCAAAACAACACTTTTGGCCGTGTGCTGAACTATATTTTTTGTTATATTTCAACTTCAACATTAACTAAAAAACTAAGCTTGAAAATTTAAAAAATTTTCATGTACTATTCAATGTATTATGTACAGGAAATGAATAAAGTGGTTTTGAATTGAATTGAATGTAAAGATAGCCTCCCCTAGGAACTAAAAAGGCTTTTTAATCCATGGGGAGTAAAAATTCTACTTGAGACCCGCACACATGTGATCTAAACTGCTGTTTTTGCTGCAGTAAGATGACAAAAAATGTTTTAAGAATACAAATTAAATTGAATAAAGTGGTTTAAATACCTGCATAAAAGTTATCCAAAATTTTGCTCACGGCAACCGGTTTCAATCCACAATAGGGATCTTCATCAGGCCGATCAGGATGTCAAAACATTTTTATCTTCTTGTGAAGGTTGTCAAAAGGCGTAAAAAAATGCACACATTGTTACAAATACGAAGCACGGACATTTAACACTAAAGACACGACCGAAATTATTGCGACGACTCATCCCCCCTTTAAAAAGAGATTCAAGGAACATTTGCCTTAAAAAACCATGACCCAGACATCTGCTTTTGCCGACCACCTCGTTTCAAATAACCATCATTATTCAGATACACACAGAAATATGCATTATATTTTACACTCCTCAAAAGACAGATCTCAGACAAGCACATTAGAAGAATTTGAAATATATAAAGCTGTAAAATCAGATCATCAGAACGTCCTGAACGACAAGCTGTCATTTTCATCTAATTACAATTTATGACACTGCAATCAAGGTATTGAAGGGTGAGGATGGTAGGCCTGAATGAAACAGCTGATAAGGATTGGACGACTGGATTCTACTGACCACCGGCAGTCTAGACTATACCTTCGCCGGGGATGAGTCGTCGCAATAATTTCAGCCGTGTCTTTAGTGTTAAATGTCTGTGTTTCGTATTTGTAACTATGTGTGCATGTTTTTTACGCCTTTTGACGACCTTCGCAAGAAGATAAAAATGTTTTGACATCCTGATCGGCCTGATGAAGATCCCTATTGTGGATTGAAACCGGTTGCCGTGAGCAACATTTTGGGTAACTTTTATGCAGGTATTTGAACCTTTTTATTGAAATATTGGTTATCCGGAGGCTAAATCACGATGAAATTAAATTGAATTAATCAAGAGGTTAAAATACCTTTAATCTGTTAGTGTGATCATATGTCGGATCAAAGGTAACCTCTAGATTAATTAAAATTTGTGATCAGGAGGCAAAAAACAACAGAAATTAAATTAAATTGAATGCCAACAATAAATTGTATTAATTGCGCCAGTATTTTTTCCCATTAAATTAATTTCTATATTGCGCTTTTTGACATCTTTTAAAGCCAAAAGTACCCATGAACTTTTGAATTTTTGAGAAAACTACCAGTCACACCCCCGTAAACCATATAGGCCTACTTAAAATGTTCGTCATGACGAGAAACCTTGCGCAAAACTATCCATTATTTCTTAAATTGCCCTATAAGGTCGTAATTGCTTTCCAAAGGGAACTTTCCATACACCTAATATTTAAAATACCTCAGGCTGTACTTATTTGGATGTTATTCTTTCAATTGATTACCTTATTAAAATCAGGTGTGATTATTTGATTGTATTACTGTATTCTATTATGTTTATTTCAGCTTAACTTAACCAATCAATAGTTTTATTAATACTTATGAAGTCAAACCGGGTGAAGCCAGTGGGTAACAACTAGTCTGATTAAAGTTCAAACGATACCTTTGGATAACAGTAAGGAAATAGATTTATTTTTCCAATTATAAAAAATAAAGCTAGGTATTTAAAATCTAAATTATTTTAATCAAGTAAGAATATAATTAAATTTCACCGGTATTTAAATTAAATCTCGTCCAAATACTATGAGCGATTTGGATTGATTCATTCTCTAAAACCAATTCCCTTTCAAAACATTAAAAAACACAATTGTGTAAATAGCAAAAAAAAAACCCCTTACCTTAAGTTTAAAACTTAACCTCAAATGAGACTATGTCCCTAGTATTTAAAACCATATTATCAGTTTATAGGGAAAGAAGCCTCTACTTATTATTAATAGAATATAAGATAATATTATAATACATCTAAAAATACCGTAGGTTTATCAGATTTGAATGATGTTAAACCAAATGCTATATCTGGATTGGGCTTCTTTGAGTGACTATGAAGATGAAATTTGAACATGTCTTCACAAACATTTGACAAACATTGTACTCCTGTTATTTTCCTGACTGATAAGGATCAGGCACTGTTACTACTCTTAGCTATTTTGGGGGAAATAACCATTTAGTACCATACTGTGATCAGATTTATTGCAAAGCATAAAACAATAATGTGTTGTACAATCCAAGGTTTCAGAAATCTACACTTTTAGTTTTTACTAAGAATTTATTATATTATCAAAAATTTATTAACGTACATGCAATAATTTTTCACCATTAATTTTTAGAGCGTATAAATATCTAGTTTAAATTTACGGAGGTTATTAAATTTTAATATAAAGGTTATTAAGTTTTAATATAAGTAGTTAAGATTTTAACTGTAACAATAAGTAAAATATAGATGTAAATACAGTTATAAAATAAAAGATAGCCTATGTGAACAAATTTATTAGTTTTAGATTGTTATTAATTATTAATTTTACTACAATTAATTATTTCTTCATACTTAATTGTAAAAATGTGAATGCATAATATACATAAAAATAAACTGAGTTAATAACTTTACTAGGTATGTTTTTTTTTTCTAGAAGACATACACACTGAATCCGCAGCCATGCCGTAATTAGACTATTAGTTATATAGCCATGCAGTGTTTTTTTTTGTTTTTTTTTAATGTTTGTGTTTGAAGATTTTCTGACGACTTCCTAGGAGTGACAACCTCACATCTAGGGCTTGATAATGACAAATAGTGAATAGTGTCAAAAAACGGTCACCATTCAGAAGACCAAAAACTACTTTGGCAACAAGGTAATTAACCTCTTGTAGAGTAGGTCTACCTCTATTACATTATTCCAAAAAAATACCAAATTTTAAACCTACTTTAAATTTATTTATTCATATAGAATTTTCATTAACAAACAAGACTCTGAAGTTACCGGCAATTTTAACAGGACTAGTGTACGGTGGCTGGATTAAAATCTACTGTTTTATTACCAAACTGGCTTGTTCAAAATCCTATAAGCCTAAAAAGAGAAGTGTATTAAAACACGCATAAGATAACTGGAACAGAAAGGATAAACCATAGGAAACTGGCTCAGATGAAAAAGATTTATAGACTTGTGAAGCAAGCTTTACATGAACTATAGGGACATTTTTCATCCTTAAAGTTAACAAATTATTTGACTCGAACATCAATGTACCATCAAGAAATGCTTGATACAAAAATTTATAAAAGGCATCTTATCATGGGAGATACAGACATGGATGATAAGCTTGATAAAATCAGCTTAAAATAAATAGTATCCTAGTCTTTATCTTGCTGTGTACATCCTTCTTCCTTCTCAAAATTGCTCGATAACTATTATACTTTTTACATACATCCACGTTTCTCCAAACAAATCCGTCAATTAGCAATGGATTTAATAAAGGGTTCACCCCTAAAACACGAAAATCAATCGCATCAAAGGTGTCTGGCCTGCAAAATGCCCCCTCCCCTTCAATCACCCATGGATAGCAATTCATATAGGCCTAATTGGAGGAAGGAGTGTTGATTTTACACTTTTATTATTGCCAGTCCATTGAAGGCCCACTACAAGAAAACTGAGCATTACAACATGAAAATCAGTTAGAATAGTGGTTGGTGAAAACAAATACAGTAGAACCTCACTAATTCAAACCTCGATAATTAAAAAACCTCTATAATTAGTAATGTTTGTCTGTTACCCTCAGAAAACCTCTAAAATTCGAAAAATAATATAGGCTACCGATAATTCAAAGTGTTTTTTTTTTATTATTGCTGCCTCTACAATTCGAATTTGTACATACTTTAGCCTCTACAATTCAAATTTTGTTACCATAATTCAAATTGTTACCTCCAAAATTCGAAGTCAACCTCTACAATTCGAACTGCTTCATCGTAAGCCTCTGTAATTCGAATTTAGAACAAAAAATATGCCTGTTGAAACATGAACTGACGCTCTTATTGATGTTCCACAATGTGTTCAATAGTTTCCGTTCG